CAGAGCTGAGCTGATCCAAGAACAGGAGCCAGGAGTTTCTTCCGGGTCTCTGATGCGGGTGTAGGCTCTTAAGGACTTGGCTGTCCTCCGCTGCTTTCCCAGGCCACAAGTAGGGAGCTGGATGGGAAGTGGAGCAGCGGGGACATGAACTGGCATCCATATAGGACTGGAGCACATGCAAGGTGAGGATTAAGCCACTAGGCTATCACTCTGAGCCCTCTCATTATTTTTAAATACAAGCAATGATGGTAGAAATCTTAGAGCATTTAACTACCTCCCCCAGCTAGAAAAGAAGCAAGAGAAACAGCTGCAACACATTTATTCTTTGCTCATTTCATGCTGGATTTCTGAGCATCCGTAGGTATTGTTTCATATTGTTGACATTTTCCTTCAGTCTTCTAGACCCCTGGTCATTGCTCTGATATTTTTGGTGGAGGTGAATGCAGGGCTTCTGTATTCACTCCTTTTTCTTCCTCCTCTCTCCGGGGTCTCATTATGTGATTAGTCTTTGGGAATGAGCAGGGAAACAAAGGGATGGACAGCGAGCATCACAGTGCTCTGTATTGTCACTTGTAGAAAATATTTTGTGAAAATAAGTGCCTGAAACAATTAAAAATCTTAATAAATAGCTTCTTACCTTACATAGGTGTTTCTCAGTCGGGGAAGCGTTGCATACTTGTATTTGGTTACTGTTATTTCAACATTGCACAAAGGAAATGTTTCCTGACTTCTTTGTCATTTGACTCAATCAATGTTTTCATCAATAAAATGTAGAAGCTATGATTGGGGGAGAACCTTTGGGTACAGCGTGTAACATGCTGGTTGGATGCCTGCACCTCGCTTTGGAATGCCTGGGTGTGCCCGTCTCTGCAGTCAGGCTTTCTGCTTTACCTGGAATGCGTAGATTCGCAAAGTTGAATCTATACACATCTCTCCCATTTTTCAATTTTCCCTGTTTCATTTCTTTTTTTTTTTCATGCACTGAGGTAACTTATTAAAAATCTTAAAGTTAAAAAAGATTTGTCTATTTTTAAATAATGTCAATTTATGCATCATCTGATACCTTCAACAAATTTCACATTTTGTTATTATATTATCACACAATACTTTCTACTATTCAAAGCAATCAAAACTTCTTAAATAGCACTTATCCTGTAGCATTTTCAAAACTTTTTGTAGAACAAAATTTTCCCAGAACATAAATAATGGCTATTATCACAAATTCCAGAAGCAAATATTCTCCCCAAAGTAGTAAAAAAAAATTAGTAGCAATTAAGTTATATTTTATATCTTGGAAGCAAATGTTGAAATTTGTAACTGAAAATAACCCCAAACTCAATATATTTGCCGTCTTTTTTTTGATCTTCCAAATTTCAGAATTAAATTTGGATTTATATTAATTATAATATCTTAATGTGTTACAAAATATTTATTATCTTTTCTTAAAGATTTATTTATATTTATTGGAAAGTCAGATAAACAGAGAGGAGGAGAGACAGAGAGAAAGATCTGTTCATTGATTCACTCCCCAAGTGGCCGCAACAGCCAAAGCTGAGCCGATCTGAAGTCAGGAGTCCTGAGCCTCTTTGGGGTCTCCCATGCTGGTGCAGGGTCCCAACACCTCAGGCCATCCTCAACTGCCTTCCCAGGCCACAAGCAGGGAGCTGGATGGGAAGCGGGGCTGCTGGATTAGAACCGGTGCTCATATAGGATCCTGGAGCATGCAAGGCGAGGACTTTAGCCACTAGGCTACTGCCCTGGATCCTATTATCTTTTTTTTTAAACTGCTTTATTTTGACAATCTTTACATAGTTGATTAGGGCACAAAGGGTCAAGGCCTACAGGAAAGTGGGTTTCCACATTATTGCTCCCCCCCCCACCTGTATCTGGGGTAAAGAGGGAGATAAAGGTAGAAGCCCCACCCAGCCTCCCACCTATCACAGGTCCCCAGTGTGGGGCATGCTCTGAGGGTCCTGCTCAAGTGGTTTTGATAATTCAACAGTTCTGAATTGCTGCCATTCTCACCATTCTAAGCATGATGAAATCACTGCAAAATCCACTGGTTGACATAGTCCACTTTAAAGTCTCCATTTGCCTAGATTTTTCACTGCCAACACATGGCTGGGATAGTTGATTGATTTGCTCTGTCCTCTGTTCTCTGTTGTGGTACCAAGTGTCTGCCACAGGCTCTGATGGACCACCATATCCTCCATGTGCACTTGGATATGCTGTCCTCTGCTCCTTCTGAGCCTCTGAGGAAGCTCAGCTTTGGCCCGTGCACTCCTTGGTCAGACCGTGAAATCTGCTCTTCTCTTCATGGTTGGGGTTCTGAGCCCGGCAGTTCGATTGGGGAGATTCCCCAAAGAAACTTTGAGGTGATCCCAGGCCGGATTCTTGTGTGTGCTTTGCTACTACAAGGTCTGGCACAGTCTGTCATCCCAAAGAGCTGGTGATTGCAATCGCTGGGTCAGTTCTGTCTCCAGCCCTGTCTTCCACACGAACCAGTGACTGTTGCAGTCCAGCCTGATTCTGCCCAGCACACACTCAGCCCTCACACAAACCAGTGGGAACTGCAGCCTAGTCAGAGCAACTCGCAATAACCCCCACCAGGTCCGCCCCCTCCCGTGGTTCCCCTGCTTGCTTGTGCTGCAGACTTGTCCAGTCTGTCCCACATCCCATTCAGCTCTCCTACATGTCAATGAGCATTGAAGCCTAGTTCAATGCCCAACCAAGCCACTATCCAGCCCATGCACATGCTGTTTTGTGCCGTTCTGTCTAGCCAGGTCTCCACCAGTCCTGGTTTTCATTCTCTCCAGTGGGAGTGATAACCCAAGAGGGAGGTGCTCATTATTTCCTTGCTGGGCCCACTCCTGGATCATGCACTTTCAAGGTGGTTCTGCAGTTTAACTTGACAGAATTAGCTCCTAGTGCCAGCATCTGCCAGCTGATGCTGTGGCAAAGCCCAACCAACCATCACCCATTCTGATTTTTATTTGCACCGGTAGGGACAGTCAACCAAGCCTGGCTATTCCCTGATCTGGCTCACATGTGTTGTAGGTTCTGTCTGGTCCGGTCTGCCCCTATCCCAACTCATGCTCTCCAGTGGGAGTGGTGTTCTAGCAGAGGGGCCCTCCACATTCCCCCTACCAGCTTACCTTCTCCCTCCCTGCTTCCTACATGTGCCAGTTGGGTGCTGCAGCCCAGTCTGGCATGGCCCACCTTGCCTTGGCATTTGCCAGTGGGTGCTGTAGCCTGACTGGGCCTGGTCCACCCCTAATTTGAGCTGATACTGGTGAGGGTTTTAGTCTAGCTCAGCCCAGCAGGCACCCAATCCTAGCTGCAGTGTGTACTGGTATGTGTTGCGACAGAACCTGGCCCGACCCACACTGTTATGGTGCTCAGATTCGCCAGTGGGTGATGTGAACTGGTTCAGCCTGGTCTGCCCCCGACCTGTATCAAATGTATGCTAGTGGGTACCTCTCTCTTGCCTGGCCTGGGTTGCTCCTTATGGTTCTTGCACTCACCTGCAGGAACTGTGTCCTGCCAGAAGAGTTGCCCAGGCTTCTGCATCAGAACCTCTCCCTATGCCAGATCTCGCGCATACTAGTGTGTCCATGAACCAGCCCTACTTAGTCCATCTCCTGTCCTAGCAGAAAGTGGCCTTTCATGACTGGCTTTCAACCCATTCTGGCTTTTGCTGTTGGATGTTTCAACCCAGCCAAGGCTCGTCCAGACCCAGACACAGGTCACACATGGCTCAGTAGTGGCAGAGACCTAGCCTAGTCTGTCCTACATCTACCCTGGTCCTCCAGAGCACCAAATGGTGTTGGAGTCTAGCCCAGCTTGGTGGATCCAGTCCACACTTAAGCCAAGGGAGACTGCAGCCATATTCTGACCAGAACGCAGCCCCCACTTTGGCCCCCGCAATCACCAGTGGCAACCCCAAACCAGCTAGGGTGTCCTCTTAGCTCCCGATTCGGGCCTGTTCCCAGCCGTAGATAACGTGCATGCCACGTGATTGCCCTGACCCAGCTTGGCATAACTCCTCACCTGTCTTGGCCTTTGCCTTCAATGCTGTGGCCTAGCATCTCTGGCTCATGCAGACCAGTAGGTGTAAGAGCCTAGCTTGGCATGACCTGTGCTCTATCCTAATTTCTATTCTTGTTTGTGAGCTAAGGTTTGCTAGGCCCTGCCAGGTCTGCCCCCTTCATAACAAACCCACCCATTAGCCAGCCATTGGACCTACTTTGCCCAGCTTGTCCGACCCCAAGGCCTGGACCGTGTGATCACCAGGAAGAGTTGTAACTTACTAGGGGCGTTTCCAAAGTTCCCCTACTTGACCCACTCCCAGACCCAATTCTCATACATGTCAGTGGGTGTTAGGCCAGTGCTTGGCATACTCTGGCCTTCCATTTTGGCGTTGTATAAGCTTGTGAACGTTGCAGCTTGGCCCACCCCACACCCTATTTTACAATGCACATTCAGGTGCTGTTGCCTTGACCAACCCAGACTGTTGTTAGTTCCTTTATCCGTGAGTGATGGCAGGTATCATGGTCACACCTAGCTCAGCCCATTACTACCACAACTCTTGAGCTAACCATAGGGACTAGTATTTCCACAGGATTTAACCCAAACATCCCCCACAGAATGTCTCCCCCATCCCCCGGCCTGATTCTCTTACATGCTGGTTAGTATCGTGGCCCTGCCTAATATGACCCGTTCCCTGATCTAACATTCTGTCAGGCGCTAGGATCTGGCCCTGCTAGACAAGCCCCCAGCCTTAGCTTTTGCATGGATTGGTGTGTGGTGGTAAACATTGTTCAGTGATTACATGTTCTACACAGGACTCATAAGTAGGCTGGGATATCAGTCTGACCCTTAAAGATCATCCGGTCTCTCTCCTCCAAACCACCAGGTCTCAGTACCCTTGCTTACCTTCAACCCTGTCGTTGGGAGTCCTTCAGGATTGATTCACAACCCACAAGCATAGTGGGCTCAACATGGAGGTACCTAGGCAGCAATTCCATATCCCCAAGACCCCAGAGTTCTCCGCCGGGTGGCCAGCAGGTGGAGCTTGGTGCCAAATGGCACACTGGCCACCAGGGCCCATCCAGCTCACCGTGTGTTCAGGATGGCTGGAGCCAGGGCCCCAAACATGAAATCTGACCCAATCAGGGACCTCCCAGCGGGTCTTAGTATCTTAATGCCATATGTTTTTCATGAGTGAGTTTCTTCATTTACATTTCTTTTAAAATATTTACTGACAACGTGACATATGTATTGCTTACATTATGGCATTTCAATGCATGCACATAATGTGTGCTGACCAGAACACGATAATTAAGATTTTCCCTCATTTATGTTATTGTTGGAAGAGATTCTCCTTTTGGCTCATGCGGTGTGTACTGTAACTGGGAAGTATAATTGCCCAACAATGCTGTGTAACACTAGGAACTTAGCCCTTCAAAAGGACTGTACAGTACCCCATTTAAAAATTCCATCTAATGGTCTCCACTCTTTAAACCTTTTGCATTTTGTGTTCAAATTTAGTTTTCCTATTCTGGAATAGGGCTTCTACCAGCATACTAAATCTGATATTTAGCTAACTGGACATTGTTACCATTGCCCTTTGTAAACATATTTGGGACAAGGTCATTCAACTGTTTACTCAGTGGGTTCCCATTCTGGAGAAAGGAGATCTGACATTCCAGCATGACCTTTAGTTTTGTAGTTAGAGCTACATCCCCATGCATTTCTTGACCTTATTCCCAATAAATATGTTCTAATTGTATCTCCATTTCCTGTGACTTCTAACTGGCCTTGTTTATTCCTATACCATACTTTAGCTCATGTCACCCTGTCTATATTCTCTCCATTCTTGTTCATTTGAACTGCTACTTCAAAATCTGGCTCTGCGTTATCAATTTTTCCTAATCTTCCTAGATTGACCTAGACCGTGGAGTCTGTTTTGACTTCAGAGGTAGGAATAAGAATAGTGAATTGTGCTTTTCTGTTCTATGTTTTCTGCTGTGGTCAGGCCAGAGGAACTCTCCCAGCTTGTTGAAAGAGAAGACCGTTCTGCTTTTTGCCTGACCAGCTTATATTCTTAGCGAAGAGAGTCATCAGCGTTATTGCTGATGTGTCTTCAGAGCCATCAGGAGATCACTGTGAACCAGTAGGATGGAAAGGTGTAGGATGTGTCTCCAGGTATGCAAGCTCTTTGGACTTGCTATCTTGAGAACCTTGTGTTGCATGGTGGCCACAGACTACTACAAGAGGTTGTAGGACATGGCTTTGCTCAGCACGGACTTTGCCATGTGGCGTCATCCCAGGAAGTTTCCTCGTGAGACTCCCAGCTCACCCTATCCTCATTTCTCCTCATGGTGCAGAAGTCTTGTCCTGATGGCCTCCAGAAGCTTTCCCATGGATGTGCTTGCACTTAAATATAGGACAGATCCTACCTTTTCAAATTGTTTTCAGCTTCTGCAAAGATTGTGCCTAGGACATGGTGTAATAAATGCTGTCTCAGTGAGTGAGTGGTTTCGAAACTGAATGCTTCCTGAATTTCTATTTTTCTTCTTATTACAGGAGGGTGTGTCATTGTCAGCAGGTGAGAAGAGTGGAAAATGTATTGTCATCACTCAGCTTGCTTCTGATAAGCCTACTCTTAGACATGAATTAAATTCTGATCAGGAATCGGATGACAATAAGAAAAATGGTGAGTATATCCATGAAAACTGTATATTTAGGTGTTGTAGACAGAAATGAGTACATCTGAAGTTGATATCTATTTTTAGGGTTGCTTTTGCCATTAAAAAAAATATGACTTACTTCTTGAAGCTGCTTTAATTATTTGAACTTTTTCTTTTTTTTTACTAACTGTTCTTCTTATTGAAATATTTATGAATGGAAAATACATGTCTATGTGTAGATATCCCATAATAATGAATGTGGATCTATTACTATATTTTGTAGGTAAGGAGTTGGCCTCTGAATCAGATTCTGAAGAGATACAATCCGCATGGAATTCTGAGGTACTGTTTCTTATTGTTATGATTTGAAAATGTAAGGTTTAGGTGATGTCGAAACAAGATTTGTGGTTATTTCTTCTTCATTCTAAAAGTTATTTGAGGTGATGGGAGAAATAGAAATATCAAAGATACACAGACAAATATCCAGTGCTCTGGTTCACTCCCCTAATATTTGCAGTGGCCGGGGTATGGACATGCCAGAAGCTTACCCACAGCCTTTCTTGTAGGTGGTGGAGATGCAACTGCTTGGTCCATTACATGTGGTTGAGTACACAATAGTAAGATGTTGTAAAGAAGATCTGGGGCCAGAAATGGAACCCAGGCACTATCACGTTGAATGCGATCTTACTGGCAGGTGAGACTCTAGGAAGAGTACTCGCCAAAGGGAATGTTTACTTCTCCAATAAACACAATGCATGCCAATCAGGAATTGTATTGTGGAGCTAGCATTATGAAATAGTGGGTAAAGCCACTACCTGCAACATTGACATCCCATATCAGTGCCAGTCCATGTTCTGGCCACTCCACTTTTGGTGCAGCTCCATATTAATGATCTGAAAAATGGAGCAGAAGATGGCCTGTGTTTGGGGAACCTGCCATCCACATGCGAGACTGAAAGGAAATTGCGTGTACCTGGATTTAGTCTGGCCTGGATGTGACCCTTGAAACAATCTGGGGATGAACCAGCAGGTAGAAGACTTCTCTCTGTCTTTCACAGTCTCTTTCTATAATTATGAATTTCAAATAAGTAATTAAATATTTTAAACAGATCATATCCTTACAGTTTTTATCATGTAATTAGTAATGAATTATGGTCTGTTGTACTGCTGAATTAGTATAACAGATACGCATTGCATTTGATGAGGTCAATATAGAACATTGAAAATAGTAAGGTGTAGATGCCATTAAGCTTACCAAAAAGAGTAACAGATTATTCCACTTCAAGCAATTTCAAATGCACTATTTGTTAAATATATGGTCACATTACAAGTGGCATTAATATAAAGCAAGGTAAGCATAATGAAAACATTTGAAAATATGATTTTAAATAGCAAGATGTATGTGCAAATCTAAGATGAGATTATCACAGTGATAATCATTCACTGAGCTAAACTAGGAAGCATTTGTTTTTAAATTGAAGCACAGTCTATGGTAAGCAGTATCAAGGAAAGGATGAGAATAGAGCAGGTGAGTGGTAACTAATTGTTTTAAAGATCTTTTCATTTGGAAGGCACATTTACAGAAAGAAAGAGCGACAGAGAGATATGCCATCCATTGGTTCACTCCCCAGTGGGCCATTATAGCCAGAACAGAGCCAATCTGAAGCCAGGAGCCAGGAGCCAGGAGCCAGGAACTTCTTCCAGGTTTCTCATATGGGTGTAGGGACCCAAGGACTTGATCCATCCTCTGCTGCTGTAAGTAGCAAGCTGGGACATGAACTGGAGTAGCTGGGACATGAACTGGTGCCCACAAGGAATGCTGGTACTAGCAGGTAGAGGATTAGCCAGTTGAGCCACTATGTTGGCCCAATGATTGCATTTTTGTGAGAGGAATAAAATAATTTGTCATTGGAGTCCTCAAAATGGTGTTTTAAACGTTTTCACTTTGAAATGCACCTATAGTTTGAAACAAGTTATGTTTGCAGGCATGTGGTCACTAAATCTACAAGATGAGGAATACTGCTATTGCAACTGGAACAGAACAACAAATAAACAACATGAAGTGCCAGGTCAAAAGAAGTCCTTCATATAAATATACAGATAGAGAAAAATTTAGATTAGAGACTACTAAAGCAATTTTTTTCTTAGGATGCATAATGAGGTGGTGTAATAATCTGTAGACACAGAAAATATTTGGGAATTTTGACTGTCATGTTGCCAATTGAAGGAAGAAATTAAGCTGTTTTTTGTGAAATTCTAAGAGGAGGACATCCGGGAGAGAGACACAGTGAATCGTTTCACCTCTTCATTATATTGTTGAAAGTGGAAATGGACAGGGCCTACAAAGTGGGACAGCTTTTACAATCATTTTATGAAATTGTTGTATGTAAAAGCTGCAAAAAATGGATACTTATCAACTAAATAAATAAACTAAATAACCATTGTTATACATACCTTTTTTTTTTTTCCCTTGGGCTGCGCAAAGTATTTCTTAGCTGGGTAAATGTGGCATGCATATGTAATCTAAACTTTTCCTTGCTCTCGTTTTAAAATTATATAAATTGTCTGAAGTCAAAGTTCTGTGATTGTATTGCCTTTTACATCAACCGTGTCTCCTGTCAACAAATATTTCAGGAAGATGATTTAAATGTAAGCTCTTGGCCAAATGGCTAGCAGGTCAGGTGAGTTATCTGTATCTTACATCGTAGAATTTCTGTGATCTTTTTGATCCTAATTCTATCTCTTTGCCACAGAGCCCCCAGGATGCAGTGGGCGGTGGCTCAGTGGTTCAGGAGATATGCACTGAAACACCACAGCCTTGACCTATGCAGGCATATGGGTACCAAAGCCGTCAGTGCTACTCTGGCTAGATGTCTCTCTCTCTCTTTGTTACTATCTCCCCATTTTCTAGGCATCTATTCTTTATTTTGCTGACCCTAAAATATAAGAACAATAAACATCTGGAAACTATGTGGAAATCAAAGGAAAGTAGTTTCCCATGTCTTTTTGACATCATAGTAAAAAAAAAAAATCTTCTCATCATGGGCTCTTCTAACATTGAAAAACTTTGAATTTGTTTTTAACAAGTCTCATTTTTCAGCATCTCTGATTGGTCTCATTGGCTTAAAACTTTTCATGAAGTTTAAAACTGCATGTTGCTGTAATGTTGCAAGTTAGATGAATAATTTTTTTGTTTTATATCCTTGATACAAATGCTGATAATGATAATTAAAATGAAATCATGACTATCATGATTTTTTGTTTTCACTTTCCAGCTACCCAAAATTTAAGTATGCTATTGTAGCTTATTGTGTGCATGTTTGTCATTTTCATAACATCCCTTCTTGGAGTGAGTTTTCCTTTTTCATTTTTGTAGTAAATTTTTTATTGAGGTGCTGCTCCTAAGTTTCTCAAATCTGTGAGGTGCTAAAGTGGCCATATTTCCTTGCCTTTGTACATTGTGTAAGTCTGACCTTTGTAAATCACATTTATGAATAGAATACGCAGTCATTATTCAGAAAGGAGAGAGTTCAGATTCTAGTTTGCCACCTGTTTGTTGAGGCTTGGTCCCGATTTACTTCTGTAACAAGCCGAGCATGGTGCAGTTTTACCTCCTGACTTTGGTGCTCTCATTTGCCGTGTTCTTTGCTTTTCATCCCATTCTTTTGCTCGTGCTAACTTTACTGAGAGGTCCCTACACACGTGCTCCCCATGAACTTTGTCTACTCTGAGCTCACATCCTTTTTTGATGTTTGGAGGCCAAGCAGAGGCTTGGATAATTTCAGACTGTTTTCTTCATGACGGCAGAGCTGGTGAATCACACCTTTCATTGTTATCCTACATGTTTACTCTAACATGAGCATTTAGTAGACTGTATCATTTTAAAAAACATGTTTATCTTTCCTAGGAGAGTGCCTGTGACTTGGTAGGTAAGGCAGATTTTTTTTTTTTAATTTTGTTTCGTTTTATGGCACAACTTCATAGGCTCTGGGATTTCCCCAACCCCTCCCAGTACCCTCCCCCCATGGTGGGTTCCTCCACTTTGTTGCAGTATTACAGTTCAAATCCAGTTATGATTCCTTCACTGCAAGCATGTACCATGCATAGAGTCTGGCATCTTATTGTTCAGATAAATTCAGCAGTTTCTTGGGGAGACCATCTCTGCTCTGAGAGCAGAGCTGTCAGAATATCATCCCGTCCAATGAAAAGCCACAACAAAATGTCCACAGCAATGTATAACATTATGGAATTATTTGACATGGTAATGAGTAACCAATATGTAAAAAAAAAATGCAAGTTCTTAACCACATCCTGTGATTACTTCATTGACATTTATTTCAATTTCAGTTTATACATAACTGGCTTCTATTTGCTTTAAAATGGTTATATGGTACTATTCAGCTGTCTCATGTCTATTTTCATTTTTATGTTTAGCAATTTATAGTATTGAAACATTATTTTTACTGGACTTAGCACATTTTAGGCTAGTCCAAACTTGCTAATAACTCTAATAAGGTACATGTCAACAGATGAGGTGCAGAATAGTTTTAGGGGGGTGTGTAGAGAAATCTTCCATACCTTAGTGAGGAGTAACTAATCTTTGTGTCTTAGTAAGGCATATGGCATGGTAGATTTTGTCTTAGTGAGTAGTTAAATCAACTGAATAAATAAGTATGCTAAATTCATTGCTTCTTTTTGTTACAGGAAGAATTATTTCCGGAACCTAAAACGAATGAAAACAATGCACAATTTATTTCTTTCATTAAACAATTTGTGAGAATGCAAGGTAATAGGGATGGATACTATAAGGATAATATAATAGATAAATTAATGGAGATTTGTCAGAAATTTTGAAATGCCTAAATCCATTCTGTTTTTTTATTTCTCAGTCTTTTCTTTATATGTATATTCTTTATATAAAAGATATGCATTTATATATAAAAGTTGGATGGATAGATATCTTTTCCTGAAAGTGCTCAATCCATTAAAATGATTCATCAATATTATATTTGTTTTATTGAACTGTTTATGAGTGGAGATATGTTTTTATCTTTATACACACACACCTTATATTGTTACTCATGAATATTTTACCGTATTTTGTAGGTATAGCGCCTAATCCCAGATCAGATGCTGAGGCTGTAGAATCACCATGGGATTCTGAGGTACGTCTTACGTGATGAGAAAGCATAAGTGGTATTTATTTTTGTAGACTTTTCAAAGATTTTTAAATTCAAATTTTTGTTTGAAGGTTTGACATTTCCCCATGATCTCATCTTATTTGTAATATCATGCGCATACATCCACTTTTACTATTAGTATTAATGTTCCCAAATAAGAAATTGACAATTACCATACGGGGAAAGGATAATATATTGTCACGCTCATGGAATAATTCAGTGAATCTATATTTATAGTTATATATCAAAGCATGTGACAAGCACACATTTTTTGCACTTTTCCTTAAATAAGAGAAAACAGGTTATTTGTGTTTCTGCAAAAGTAATTTGAATATTCTGAAAGCTAAATTAATATCTGTTGTTATCCATATCCTCTTATCAAGGATATTTCTCAACTGGGAACTAACGACATGCATAGGTAATTCAATTATATAAATGCACGATTTATTGACTATCTCCTCATTTGACTTGACCATCTTCTATCCTGTTAGTAAAAATTTCCAGGAAAGAATATTTAGTGGAAAAGCTCCTGGCTCAATGGTTAAGAGGTCCAGTGAGTTATCAGCATTTCACATTGGAGTGCCTAGATTTCCATCCTCTTTCTGCCCCTAATTCTTCACTTTCTGACAGAGAGCACCCTGAGATGCAGTAGGTAATGGTTCAAGTGTTTCAGTCTTTGTGACCCACTTGTGTATCCTGCCATGAGTTTCAAGTTTCCAGTTTTTGCAAAGATTAGCCCTGGCCTTTGCAGGCAAAAACCACTCTCTGGCTAACTGGTTTTCTCTTTCCTGTTTTCTTTGCATATATTTCACTATGTTTTCTCCAGCGTCTCAAGTTATTAAATCTGAAACTAAAAAGTGGAATTTAAAGGAGGATGGTTTCAACTGTCTTTCTTACAACATCATAGTAGAGAAATAATTATTCTGATCGTCACTGGGCACTGCTCTTCAACATCTAACTGCTCGAAAATCATCTTTAGAAGTGACTCATCTTTTGGCATCTACAATTGGTGTTATTGACCTGAATATTTGCGTTAAATTAAAAAAAGAATGTTATTATATTATTAAAATATATATTCTAAATGGCAACAATAAAGTTATGATTTATGTTTTTGATACAAATGTTGATAGATATAATTTAAAAATAGAACATTGTGATTTTTGCTCCTTTTTTCATTTAACAAGTATCAGAGTTTAGCTGAGTTTTGAAAATTTGATTGTAACATTTTAGTGAACTGTATCCATTGGTTTTATTTTGACACCATATTGTTTTTCATGGTGATTTTTTTTCTGCTCAAATATCAAAATTCTTCATCTACATTGGCTCCTAAATATGCTAAACTAACAAAGCTGATCAGTGCCAAAATGCATTCATTTTCATGAACTTCCAGATTGGCCTTTCTGAAGTATACTTGTGATTATATTATTCAGTCATTGGTAAGTGAAGTAGAAAGCTCAGATTCTATTAAGCCACATGTCTACTGCGGTTGGGTCTGAGACTCTCTTGCGTTTCTCTGTCCTGTTCCCCACGAGTTTCCTGCAGTTTTCCCCATGGTGTTGCATTTCCGAAGGTGACCCCCATCTTGCAGCCTTTCCTGAGCTTTCAGGGTCAAACTGAGTGTAATGTTATTTCATCCTTTACTATACTTTATTTACTTCAGAGCAGATTAATTATGCTCTTCTGTTTTTTCCTGCATTATCTGCTCCCTCTTAGTGTGGGGTATAATGTACCTCTTATTACATATTTAGTTTACCTTGTGAAAGTATTTATGTCTTGTTAGGCAAAGTGACCTGAGTATTGAGTAGTTCAGCAACTGAATGAATGTGTGTTGGATTTGTGATTTCTTTTTTCCTCCCACAGGAAGAAACAACAACGCCAGCAAGTGGGAAGAGTGAAAATGAGATTTCTGTCATCCGAGATACTCCAGAAGAAGAAGGAAATTGCAAATTGTTTTGTAATGGGGAGTTGGACAAAGACCATATCAGTGGTCAGTATATATTAATGAGAAACTGTATGACTGCTACTGTTTAAACTAAAACATGTAGCCCCATTATGATATTTATTGTATTTTCTGTTTTGCTGTGTTTGCATGAACACTGCCTTTTTCCTGAAATAGCTTCAACGTTCTAAACATCTTAATTGCTATTAAGGATATTTTTATTGAAACACTCATGAGTGGTGATAGATTATTTATAGTGATACATTTTCTCATCCGTGCATGTGCATTTTGTAGATATGGTGTGTACCTTAAGATCAGAAGATGAACCTGTAAGATCAACTTCAAAGCCAAAGGTATGCTATGTTATTTTCTCGTGATTTTGAAATGTGAGCATTAATTGATGTTAAGATGTAGAATGATGTGGTTGTTTCCCTTTTAAAATTAAGGAAGAGGCAGAGTGAAAAATAACAGTTCATCCATCAAATGATGCAGCGCCTGAAACCTCTCCCTATTGTGTGTACTGGTGGTTCCATGGGCCAGCCCTCATTGCTGGCCTTCAATTCATTCCATTTTTTGGTGTTGGCTGTTTCATCCCAGCCAAGGCTTGTCCACACCCAGACACTGGTCACACATGGCTCAGTAGTGGCAGAGACCCAGTCTAGTCTGTCCTACATCTACCCAGGTTCTCCAGAGCACCAAATGGTGCTGGTGTCTAGCCCAACTTGGTGCACCCAACCGCAGTCCACACTTGTGCCAAGGGAGATTGCAGCCATATCCAGACAAGAACGCAGCCCCCACTTTGGCCCCCACACCCTCCCATGGGATTCCCAACCCAGCAAGTGTGTACTCTCAATGCTCCTCAACTGAGTCTATTCCCAGCCCTAGATTATACGTGTGCCAGTTGGTGCTCTGACCCAGTTTGCTTAGCCCCTCACCTGTCTCAGCCTTTGCCTTTGATGTTGTGGCATAGTATCCCTGCCTCATGAAGACCAGTTGGTGTAAGAGCCAAGGTCAGAATGACATGTGCTCCATCCTGATTTCTGTTCTTTTTTGTGAGTTGAAGTTTGCTTGTCCCTGCCCAGTCTGCCCCCTTCCAGTTGCAGTTCGGCCTACTCCACGTCCTATTTTAGGATGCACCTTCGGGTGCTGCTGCCTTGACCTGCCCAGATTGCCATTGGTTCCTTTACCCGTAAGTGATGGCAGGTGCCATGGTCACTCCTAGCTTAGCCCATCGCCACCCCAGCTTGCAAACTAACCTGCAGGACTTCTATTTCTACAGGGTTGGGCCCACACTTCCCCCACCGAGTTTGCCCCCGGACCAAGTTCTCTCACATACTGGTTAGTGTCTTGACCTTGCCAGATGTGACCAGTCCACTATCCCACAACCCAGTCAAGTAATGGTACCTAGCCCTGCCAGACAGGCCCCCATCCATAGCTTTGGTGTGGACTGGTGTGTGGCAGTCAGTGATGCTCTATGCTAACAGCTCACCTCATGATTCCCATGTGGGTTGGTGAATCAGTCTGACCCAAATAGATCTTATGAATACTCCCCTCCAAACCACCAGGTCTCAGTCCCCAGACTTGCTCGAAAATTTCATGACCCTGTTACTGGGAATCACCCAGAATTCATCTCTCGCCTACACTAAAACTGGCCTTATTCATGGGTGTCCCTAGTCAGCAAATATGTATCCAAAAAACCCCAGAGCTTGCCCAAAGCCAAGAACTCAGTCGCTGCCTTTCAGCAGTGGCTTTGGCCTGAGTTCTCAGCCTTGAATCCGGCCCAGCAGGGGCACCCCCCACAACTGCCACACTGCAGGGAGCTGCAAGCTGCCGCCAACCCCAAGGCCTGAGCCCCTGTCTTTCACAGCTTTAGGATTACTTTCCCCCAGCTCCTGTCACATTCTTAACTGGAGTATTTTTGCTTTTTGATTTGTGTATTAATAGCCATTCTATCTAGGTGGGGCCATTGTGTTTTCTGCATTTACTTGGTGGTTATTGATTTTTAAAAATTTCATGTCTTTCAGCCATTGAATTTTGTTCTTTGAAAAGTGCACATTCATACCTTTTTTTCCAGTTTTAATTGTATTTTTTTTGTTATTATTTTGAGTTTCTTGAACTCATATAAATTCATGATATAAATCCTCCAGCAGTTACATAGTTTGCACAGATGCTTCTCTTCAGTTTGTTGAGGGTTTCCTTTGCTCTGCAAATTGCCATGCTTCTGGACTTTTCTCCAATACTTCTTTGCTTATGCAATGCCATACAGGATTTACTCAATATTTTCCTCTAGTACTTTGATGTTATCAGTGCATGGGATTAGATCCTTGATTTTTGTATGCATAAAGTGGGGGTATTATTTCACAAACTCACATATCCAATTTTCCCAGCAGAACTTGTTAAAAATACTGTCATCTATCCTGGCACTTGCTTTAGCTTATTCATCAAAACCTAATTGATTATAAATGCATGAATTCATTTCTAGTATTTCTGTTAAGGGACATTGGGATGATTCTATTTTTGCAGCATGGAGATTGGAAATCAAAAACATGGAATTTCAATCACTTATGATTCCAAGAAAATAATAATAAATTCAAATGCCCCATATATCTAGAGGACATGACATTTAAGAAAAGGCCAAGTGTGGAAAATAGTAAATTTTGGAGAGAGAGAGAGAGAGAGAGAGAGAGAGTGTATAATATGTATATAATATGTATATCCTATTTTGGTAAATATGAAATCAATATATTTATGGTAAACATATTAGTATTAATGCAGTTACAGAGTATTTGTCTATGGTGATAAAATAGTGAATGAGATAGGATGGATCCCATCACAGAGAATTCCTATTCCAATGTGCCATATGTTTACTGCTCTTTGGTCTTGAATTGCTCTTGTATCTCTCTGTTCCTAATCTCAAGTTTTTGGCCATTTTGTCCTTCAGTTGGTATGTTTTCCATTTGTGTGTGTGTTTTTTTTTTTTTGGAAACATTTGTTTTATTTGAAAAAATTAGAGACAGAAGGAGAGAGAGAGTGAGAGAGAGAGAGAGAGTGAGAGAAAGAGAGAGAGAGAGAGAGAGAGAGAGAGAGAGAGAGAGAGAGAGAGAGAGAATCTCTCACTGGTTCACGCTCCATATGGCCACTAGACTAATCCTAAACCTAGAGCCTGAAGCTTCTTCTGGGTCTCCCATATGGGGGCAGGGACCCAAGTACTTGAGCCATCCTCTTTTGCTTTCCCAGTCCATTAAGGAAGTTGGATCAGAAATGCAGCAGCTGAGCCTCACAGCAGGACCCATGTGGGATGCTGGTGCTGCAGGTGAAGGATTAACCTGTAAACCCGGAACACTGCCCCCTCCGCTTCATTATGTTGTTCTGTTTCAAAGACTCTTTGTGGTCAACACCGCCTTCCTTCTACTTTGGTTTACATTGGGTCCTAACGTTCTAACATATCCCAAGTTTTCAAGACCAAACTTGAGGATTCATATCTACCCTTATGGTAAGGGTATGCAGTTATGTTCTCTGGTTTCCTCTATGTGTAGCCTCCCCCAAGTCCTAGAATGGAATCTGCCTTATTTCTGTGTTATGTAACTATTTGTATGAGAGTGCACATGACTTGAAAACTACAGGAAATACTTTCTATGGTTGCTTAGTTTGTGGTATTTGTTTTTCTTCCACAGGAAGAAACATCAATTCCAACCACTGGAAAAAATGAAAAGAATATGGATATTGTTCTAACTGTTTCAGGAGAGCATACTAAAGACAAATCGCCTGATGCTAATGGGTCACCAAAAGATAACACAATGGGTTGGTATCTATCAAAGCTGTCTTTTTGGATGCTGTTGTTTCCTTTCAAATGGGTTAGTGTAACTATGATTTCCATTGTTTTGATGTTTACATTTTGCTGTTGGTTTATATGCTCAATATCTTCATGTTAAATGTAATTTTACAAGCTGGAACTCTTTATTGCTTTTACTTTTGAGTATAATATTTTTGGAATTAGATGCATATTTACATTTATTTTTTAAAAGAAACGGTCACGCATGTTCTCATTAATGAATCTCTGCCAATACTTCCTAGATACCACATCTTCCTTAAGATCTGATGATGAGCCTGTGATATCCACATTAAAGTCGGAGGTACTGTCTCTTGTTCTTGGAAGTTTTATGTACAGCTTCTTGTTTCTTTTTCCATGATTTAAAAACTATGTAAGAGACAAAGAACTAAGAAACATATACATCCACACACACTGAGACTCAGACACTGGTTATGCAAGCGGAGGGTTATTGCTGTGGTGATTGGAAGATTAACGATCACTAGTAACTATATTTGAATGTTTGTAAAGATGAATGAAAGAAGTATTGGTTAAAACATTGTAGGAGTTTATGCTAAGGATGGGAGTGATATTGGGAGTGGAATTCTGTTTTCATAAACAGTTTCATGATATTGATTTTGATGAGGCTCGGCACCAGAATGAGCAGGAATGATTCCCATGATTATCAAGGAGGAAATTCTGGGATGAAACTAGATCACTTTTTTATCTTTTTTGGGTTTTTTTTGTTAGTAGAAATGAATAAGATGCATAAGATGCATTACCATCATTGTTAGCCTTTTTCATATTATTGTACAGAAAATACAATGTGTAAATGAGTGCCTGACATATATTAAAAGTAGATATCATTATAATCTGCTGTATACTTTCACACTATTTCTTTTTTTCAAGGGAGTTGTACAGGTATTTGGCTATTGTTCTTTTGGCACAATGTAAAGGAAAGTTTTACTTATTATCCTTCCATTTCATCTTTTCTTGTGATTAAACATTAAGTAATAATAAGCCAGTTAAGACTACCCTAAAATGTGCCAAGTTCAGTAAAAATTATGTTTCAACACTATGAACTGCTAAATACTAAAATGAAAATAGACACAAGACAGTTGAATAGTACCATGTAATCGCTTTAAGGTTTACAGCAGTTGGTTGTATATAAACTAAAATTGAAATATCAATGAAGTAGTCACAGGATGTGGTTAAGAACCTGCATTTTTTTAATGTATTGGTTACTCAATACCATGTCAATTAACTCCATAATGTTATAAATTGTTGATGTTATGTTGGGGCTTTAAATTGGTTGGGACGATATTCTGCTAGGTCAGCCTTCAGACCAGAGATGGTCTCCTCAAGAAACCATTGAATGTATCTGGACAATTAGATGCTGGACTCTATGCATGGCATATGTTTGCAAAGAAAGAATCTTGACTGAATTTGAACTGTAATACTCTAACAAGGTGGAGGAATCCACCATAGGGGAGGGTACGGGGAGGGGTTGGGGGAATCCCAGAGCCTATGAAACTCTGTCACAAAATGAAATATAATCAATAGAAAAAAAATTAAGCAATAATTAGATGAAAAGGCATTTGATCTGCATGTAAGAGATCAGTCAGTATATCAGCAATCCGTATTATAGCATTTGGGTTGATATCCTGGCTGTATGCCTAATTATAGCTTCCTGTTAGGTACGTCAGGGTAGGAATCAGGTATATGCTGATGTAACTGTGTTCTTTCTACAACTTCAGGGACTATCATTGATTTCCTATCTCCCAGCTTTGGTGTTAGCCTATGTCTGGAAATTAGTGGCACTTGAAGAGTAAACCAGTGACTGAATTCATATGTACATTCTCTTCCCCGTATTTTACTCTCACATAAAGAAAAAAAGAAGGAACTAAGTGTTTCTCAGTGTGTACATAAATGTATAACATCCATGATATCCTGTTTATACTCAGTGTGACATATTTTGAAGTTTCTCATCATGCTAATATTTTATCATAAAAACCCAGCCTTCAAGTATCTTAATTATTATATATTTTAACTAGTGCCCTGACTGTAGTTAAAAAATTTTTTTTAAATTATATCTTCTTGTTTTATTGAGTATAAAAATAAGTTACTAAAATATATGCGTTACTAGTTTGTTAATGATACTGCTCTCTCTGGCCTCCCATATTGAGTTAAGGATAAGCTCTCACCTGAAGATAAAGGTGAAGCTTGGTCCTATAAATTCTTAGAAATGTTCAGTGGGAATGTTGTGCTTTTTAATACATGCTTTATTTTTGTTTAACCCTTTCAAAATGGATTTTTTTCCTTAAACATAGAAGGGAATTTTATGCTAATCATTGTTGATATTAAATTTAACAGTGTATTTCCAGAAAATCTTTGAAGAAAGATGCTGATGGACCTATGGGGGCGGGGAAAAGAGAAGATAAACATGAACAGTTGGAAGGTAAGGACTATTTAAAAAAATCATCTGACAGAATGTTTACATAAGAAATTGATGCTGATATTTACTATTATTCAAAAACTGTTCTTTATTAAATGCATAATAAGGAAAAAGATAGTTTAGGGGGTGCTAAACTGATTATCTTATCAACGTATTGCATTATTGTTGCCCTGAAGGAAGTGAAGTATCAGTTCCATTTCAAGATAATCTATGATCAGGAAAAATAAGAAATGAGTATTAAGAAAGAAACGAGAAATAAAAGCCATTCTGACGTGGATGAAGTGACATCTCATTGTGGTTTTGATTTACATTTCCCTGGTATCTAGTGATACTGTAAATTTCCATACATCTGTTGGTCGTTTGTGGTCTTTTGAGAACTACCTATCCATGTAATATTGCCTGTTTCTAGCTGGATTGGATGTTTTTGTTGAGTTTTGGGGAGTAACTTTTACTATTTGATCATTTCTTCAATTGAGCACACCAAGAACTGTAGGGATTGTCAGATCACAATTTAAAATAACCACTTTAAACACTAAAGTGACCAATTGGTGTCAGAATGGCCTTTAAAGTTATATTTTTGGATTTGTTTTTCTGAATTTTTCATATGTCTTACAGTGTTTAAATCTTACAGTTTTATTGATACAGAATGAAAATTTCAGTCTCTGTGCATGAGAATGCATGTATATGTGTGTATTTTATTTTAGATGCCAGTTAACAGAGTGTTATGATTCATATGGTCATATTTATAGAAACAGGCCATAAAATATCACTACTCTTTTTCTTTGTTACCTAGAGAATGACATTATATTTCACAGAAGTTATACATTTTTTTAAACTAGTGATGATAAGTGACAAAGCCATTATTGATCAGTCCCAGTGACTTTTTTGCTTTTGTTCTTTATGAGCTTGGTAGGTTCAATCAGCATGCATTTTAAAACACCTAAATTGGTTCCTTCAACACAGAAACATATTTAATGTCTCTCCAAGTACTTTGTTAAAAATTTGGATAGTCAGAGGTTTTTCTTAAATAAGTAAATGTTCAGTGAAAGAGTAAGCTTAAAATATCAGTTGTTGGGCCCAGCACCATGGCCATTGCCTAGTGGCTAAAGTCCTCACCTTGAACACACCGAGATCCCATGTGGGCACTGGTTGTAATCCTGGCAGCTCCACTTCCCATCCAGCTCCCTGCTTGTGGCCTAGAAAAGCAGTCGAGGATGGCACAAAGCCTTGGGACCCTGCACCCAGTGTGGGAGACCCGCAGGAAGTTCCTGGTTCCTGGCTTCGGATTGGCACAGCACCAGCGTTGCAGTCACTTGGGGAGTGAATCATGGGACCAAAGATCTTCCTCTCTGTCTCTCCTCCTCTCTGTATATCTGACTTTGTAATAAAAAAATAAATAACTCTTTAAAAAAATTAGTTGTTAAAGTAAGTCTTTTCTATTTTATGAGGATTATAGCTTTCTTTCGACTAGTAAGTGATGTGTTTAAATATCTGTTTATCTAGGGCACTATACTTACCAATGCAAATGATTAACTAAAGTAACATTAGCTGAATTAGGCATTGGACATATGACCCACTAAAGTGGTACAATGAACATTTTGTATTTCAGGTTTACCCAAATTGAAGAATTGAAGCATTTGATTCAAGTAATAAAATCTCATATCTCTTTTGTTACAGGCAAATACAAAGAAAAAACAATACAGGAAAGGATCAGCAAGAATTTTGTTGGTCATTACAATGACATTGAATATAAACTCAGTGAACCTGAATTAGAAAATGCCAATTTTTCAATACATAATGACATAAACACGATACTCATGGAAGTGGAGGAAAACCCTGCTATAAGTGAAAGTGATCAACAACAGGTGAGTCAAACCTCAAATATCTGGGTTTATATTGTTTTGTTTGCTTTAATAACATGGTATAAGTAAAATTATTTACCATAGTAAACTTCTATTATCAATAGATCATAGTTTAATACTTCTTTCAAAATATTTAATTACTTATAAAAATGTAAATGTTAGATCTGTACTAAGGAATATTTAATCAATATTTGAAATAGAGGCAAGAGGAGAGAAAAGATGGTAGAGTAGGGTAAAGACAGGTTTAAGCAGATGGAGACTCATTTGCCAGGGTGAAGCAGAGAGGACACGATCCCAGGAAATAGTAGAGGACAGCTTGAGGGCAGAGAGACACCAGGGACTATAGACCCAGGAAAGCAGCAGAGAGAGTGGAGTGGTGTTGCAGTGACCACAAACCCCAGCAATGACTGGCGATTGGCCTTCCATCAATGGCCAGATGGGGGGGAATACACCAGGAATTAGGGAGACGAACCCAAACAGAACTGCCCATCTTACTGATTTTCTTAATCTGACCATGAGCAGAAGCAGGTTGGCAGAGCTAAATCAGGCAGGTACAAACATTGGGTAGATTTCATGGCCCAGACCCCCAGCAGTGTTAAATTGAATATAACGAATAGGTTGTGGGGGCTGGAGGGACAACAGTGAGCTAAGCCAGGAGCAAAATCATTCCAAGCTTAATACATTGTACACATCCAACCGGTAAAACAATATTGAGTTGGCATCCTACAGGTCCCCACAAAATAGTTCTGAGTGGCCCCCACTCCTAATGGCCAGCAGGCCCAGACCCATACCAGTGCCATGGCAGATGCCATTTTGTGTACTAAGAAAAAGGCTGTGGGCCAGGAGGAACAACAGTGAGCTGCACATGTTCTAAGCCAGAGAATCATTCTGGCTCAATACATTGAATTTGTCCCATAAAGAAAACAGTACTGACTTGCATCGTACAGGTTCCACTCAAAATAGGTCCTTGTGGTTCTCAGATCTATGGCCAGCATGTTTCAGCAGGACCAGCACCACTAAAACCCATGTGATTTAGGAAGGCTGGCATCTTCCAGGCACTGCTTGAACTGGGAGTGGGAGAAAGACTACTGACAATGGTAAGCCACAGCAAAAGATAACAGGTGAAGGAGAGTGGTGATCCAGAAGCTGGGGTTACAGATATTGGTGTGGAAGCCAACCACGAGAGCTCAGGATTGAAACTCACTGGAGAGAGTTTTACAAATGACTGCAAATGAAGAACAGGGTATGAAATGCAATCAGTTAAATTGACCCATAGATCAGAAGTGTGACGAAGACGTGAAATATAGCCTATCAGGATCAAATCTGGTAACTCATAGACAACAGACTCGAGTTGGCACTAGACAATAGTAAAGTTACACAGGTATAAGGGGGGGAATTGGGAGCGACCCTGAAAGCCTCTTAACAGGAGGTCCTGCATATGGAGCAGGGGGGAGACCCCAGGGTGGAGCAGGTGGAGAGGAGGAGGCTCGTATTCCAACCCTGAAGACTCCCAGATCCTCACCAAGGACTATCAGTACGGACACCAAGGACTACATCCCAACTGCTAAGGAGACCACGGGGAATAGGAGTGCCTTTGGAGGCTGAGAACTCTAAGGTCACTCACCCCCATCTGGAGCCTCCACAGGGGATGTAAGAAGTCCAAACTCTGCCATGCAAAAACCAGCGTCATCAGAACGACAACCAGGAGCCCTGGATGGTCTGCAGAAACAGAAGAATAATAAACTTCCTTCGGGATTAGGGGGGCGAGCTTTCTCTGGTCCTTGCCTAGCTCTGGCTCTAGGTTCCCACCCTCTCTCGCGATGACCATTAGGATCGTTACAGAAACCCCTCAAAACAAATGAACAAACATACAAACGAACAAAAAAACCTAGAATAGACGGACAACAACAAGGAAAGCTTAGAATCAGACAGGAAATGGACAGCATGGATTCACTCATACCTCACTAGGTGGGACACAAAGATTAGTTATGCCTCACTGGAATATTGGGGATTTCTCTGCACACCCCTCCTAAAAAAATACCTGAACTGATGACACATGTCTTGCTAGAGTTATAAGCTAGTTCAGACCATCCGAAAAACAACCAAGTTCAGCAAAATCATGCTTCAACACTATAAACAGCTAAATACTAAAATGAAAATAGACATGAGACAGCTGAATAGTAATCTATAGCCATTTTGAGGTGTATAGAACTCGGTTGAATATAAACTAAAATTAAAATGTCTAAGAAGAAGTCACAGGATGTAGTTGAGAACCTGCATTTTACTATTAGCATATTGGTTAATCAATACCATGTCAATTAATGCCATAATGTTGTGTAAATGGTTGTTGATGCTATGTTGGGGCTTTTAATTGATTGGGATGATACTTTGCTGGCTTTACCTTCAGACCAGAGATGGTCTCACCAAGAAATCGTTGAACTCACTAGGATAGTAAGATGCTGGACTTTATGCTTGGTAAATACTTCCAATGAAAGAATGTTAACTGAATTTGAACTGTGGTAATGCAACAAGGTGGAAAAAATCCACCATGGGAGGGAGGGCTCAGGGAGGTGTGTGGGGGAATCCCAGAGCCTATAACACTGTGTCACATAATGCAATGCAATTAAAAAAAATTGACCCATAGATCAATGGGTGACATAGCATATAAACCTGCCCCAAAGAGAAGAATCTGCTAACCAGAATATCAATGACCAGGAGTAAAAGAAGAGACCAAGGCATAATGAATATCATGAATGCCTCTACTGCAAAGGAGCCTTTGTCAACCTCAGAGTTAACTGAAGAAGACATGGAAGAAATGGGGGATAAATAGTTTTTAAAAACTTGGTGTAAAGCTTCTTAACAATAGTGAGAAGTACATACAGGAATCCAAGGAATTGAGGGAATATGTTGTGAGAAATAGCAGCAGTGACTCAAATGAAAGTTGATACGTTGGAAATGAAGAACACAATGAAGCAAAATACAAATTCAGTGGAAAGCCTCAGTAATAGAATGAGTGATGCAGAAGAAAGAATCTCAGAATTGCAAGACATTTCTTTCAACACTGGGGAAAAAATGAAAAAGCTGGACAAGGAACTCAGTCAAGCTACTGTTAATTCCAGCATTCTACAAATTTACATCATGGGAGGCAGTGGACAATAGATCAAGGAACCTGCATTGAATTTGTTATCCCTCATTCGCCACGTTGTTTTCTACTTACTTTTTCTCATATAGCCATGTGTGGAAGGCAGTTATGTCCTATTGCTGAAATGTTCTGCTCTTCAAAATGTGGCCCTAGCCTTGCAGCATTTCCTAAGTTATCCTGATCAAACTGAGAGTTCTCCGATTTCTATCCCTGTTTTGCTTGATTTATTAAATGAAGTGGTGGAACAGATTAAGTATGCATTGTGTTCTTTTTTTTTTTCTATGTGTAGACATCTCCTCTCAATTATAGGACAGAAACCTGCAGTCTGTTTATGCTGGGGTCCGTGCAGTAAGTGTGGATGACATGAAGGTGTGAAGAGATCAGCTTCCTTGTTTGGCAGGGCTCAGGGGAGCTTCCAGGTGTTTGGCAGGGCCAGGAAGATTCCTCTCTGACCACCTTGATGCAGTCTCACCCCCATTTTGCATGGACACTCAACCACCCCACTAAGAATTCTATAACCTATTTAGGCGTTGTTATTTGCCCCTGTGAGGTGGCTTCTGTAACTGATGTGAGCCTGAGAGTTACTGCTATTGATAATGTCTTGGTGGATGGGTCTTTAACTGCACACAGGAGTACAATTAAGCCCATGCTGTTTCTGGACACCTTATTGTGTGCCTACCCATTGCCCTGGAATCTGGCCCAGACATGTAGCATGGCTTCTGGGAAATGGCTTGATAAGAACCATACAAACTAATGGAAGTGATGGGAGTATGAGCGGAAACTGCTATGACAAAAAATATAGCTTACTGTGACCTTAAAGGTCAGCCTGTTCTTGCAACTGTTTGGAGCATAGAAAATGTAGCTGTTTTAGCTGCTTTCATAATTTTTTAACTAGAGGAATTATAGGGCAATTTTATTAACATCATAGAGATATGCTTTTAGTTATTGTTTGACTGTTTCTGAGGTTGCAGAGCCTGCAGTTGTAGGGGGATTTAATGTTTGAAACTTTTTGTCTTAGATTTTTATGTTTTTTTCCTCTCTTGATGTATTTCTCCCATTAAGTGATAGATAAGTTGTGAAAATAAAATGTAGTTGGAATGTTTTACTAATTAGTAGGCAACCATCTGTGCTTTGGCCTTGGAGTTCTGGCTGTCACCTAATGGCTAGTACTGAAGAATGAATAACGGCTTGCCTTGAAGAAACTGATTATAGAAACTTACAGAATTATATTTCAGAACATCCGGTTGACCATGAAGTAAAAATTCATTAAATCAACATCTATGCATGCTGGTTTAATTCTGAAGTTAAAGATAGTAAAAAAAAGTTTGTGTTGTGTCTAAGTAAATAGAAAGGACAGCTTCTTCTTGAGCTGTTTCAAGAGGCCACCACGTGACCGTGTCCGTGTCTTTTCTTATTGCTGACTCCACACACCCTACTTGAGCTCCAAACTCAGGGGAGCTGGACTCCGGCATGTTTATATATTAATCTTGTGGTGGGAGACTGCATATGATTCGACCCAGTAAATTTTGTCTTAATGAGTGGATATGTGACTGAGTGTTTGTTGAATGAGTGTTTTCACTTGAATGTGTGTTTGTTGAATCTGTACCCTTATTTCTTTCTTTAGGAAAACACATCAGCAACAAAAAATGGAAAAATGGCTAAGGATGTAGCTATCATTTATAGTACCCTGCAAATATCCCCTGTTGCTGAGGTGAAGAACAAAAGCAGTGGTCAGTATCTTTCAATGAAAAGCTCTGTTAAATGTTGTTGCTTCAACTGACATGGTGTCTATCCATGCTCTCTATTTTTTAGTGTCTTATTTTCTTAAAAGGATCAATTCCTCCCTGCTAACACCCACGGAGATTATTTATTACTGTTTCTTTTACTTCTTAGAAATAATCGTAATTGTGTGTAAGTGTGAGTGAACATATAATCCAGTAAAAGGTGCCTAAATTATTGGATTTTTGGATCTGTTTTGCAGATGTAATGTTAACTTTTGGTTCAGAAGACAGAAGTGCAGAGTCAACTTCAGATCCTCAGGTACTGTCTCTTGTTTTCTGGTAGTTTTGAATATGAATGTAAGTGGTGTTAAAGCATGGAGATTGTTTTTAAGTAATCTATGTCTTCATAAAATTACTTGTGATGAGAGAGAAGATAAACAGAACTGACAACACATATATAGATGTCCTGAGGTACTTCACTCCCACCTCACAAGGCACTTCACTCCCCCATGTCTGTAAGGTCTACACAGCATGGCTAACCTCATCAGCACTTTTTTCTTTCTTTTTCCTTTTTTATTATATTTATTTTGATAATCTTTACATAGTTGATTAGGGTACAAAGGGTCAATCGCTAGAAAAGTAGGGAAGATTGTTGTTTCCACATTCTCTCTTTCCTTTTTCCCCCTGCACCTGGGAGAAGAGGTAAGATAAAGAGAGAAGCCTCACCCAGCATCCCACCCATCCCAGGGTCTCTGACGTGGGCATGCTCCAAGGGCATTGCTCAAGTTGTTTTGATAGATCGGCAGTTCTGAATTGCTGCTGATCTCAGCACTCGAAGCACAATGAAATCTCTACAGAATCCACTGACTGACATAGTCCACCTCTGAGTCTCCATTTGTCTAGATTTTCACTGCCAGCACTTGGCTGTGGCAATTGAATGATTTGTTCTGTCTTCCATTCTCTGTTCTGGTATCAGGTGTCCCCAGCAGGTTCTAATGTATGGTTGTATCATCCATGTGCAACTGGCCATGCTGTGGACAGCATCAGGAATTTTAAATACAGGTCCAGAGCTAGAATTGGAACCCAAATATTTCCATGTTATTTATATGTGTCCTACACATTGTCCAAGGCACTATGGCAAAAGCTTATGCATGGAATAATTTGATTTTATTTCTCACCTCTGCAAATGGCCATTAGGAATTGTTCTGCTATATTTTTTCATATAATTAGTGTATTACTGATTCATTTGTGCACTGTTACAAATCTACATGATGCAAATATTGTATTCATTGTAGTAAACATTTCTAAAAATATGACCTTGATGACACAATAAACCAAGTGTGGATTCTACAATTGTTCATCTAAAGGTTGATTATTTATTTAATCTCAGCTTACGCCAGATGTCTTGCTCTGTGTTACCTATATGGATAACTAATCTTTCATTTGTGATTTTTTAAAGTTTGGCTTGTATGTTTTCGTTTGTTGGCACCTGAATCAAACACCTGGCGTTTCAAGGGTTATTATTAAATGTGGGTTGTGATTTATTGTTACATAAGGAACATTTAAAGAATGAAGAATATTGGAGAATGTGAAAATAGATTTTAGCAAGAGGGGTTTGGTTTTGTGTAGCACTTTAATAGAAAACATTGTGAGCGTAAAATGCATTGCCTACCTTTGTGGTAGCCATGTCAGTAGTCACATACGTGGAGAATGGTGATGTATCCTGTGGTGATAGTAGGGCAGTGAGGTGGTGCAGGTAGGAATCCTTGGATGGGCGCAACACCTGCATGGTGGTTTTGGCAACATCTTTGTAGTTACAACCACATGACTATGCTACTCTAGCACAAGTTCTGAGGTCTTGACAGTAAATGTATGAACAATTTGTGAATGACTTCACACAGAAAGATGGTATCAACAGAAAATAATTAGGTCTGTGTAATGTGAAAATTTGTTAAAAATGAAAAAAAAGAATTGTTAACTGTATAGTATGTATATAGAAAAAAGGAAAGAAAAGAAAGTTTGAGAACAGACCTTTGAAAATCTGAAGGTCGGGAGGCATCTACAAAAAAAATGCAGGATGTCTTGAATATGCATGTTGAATACTGAAATGGAACACACAAGTTTCATTATGCTATAGTTACCAAGATTATCAATAATAAAGAGATTTGAGTCTTGCTGTTTGCGTTGGGAAGAGTTTGTATGTGTTGACTTCAAAATTTGGTTGTTGAGAATGTGTTACATGCTGGAACAGTTAGACAAAATATACACAAGGATGTTACTGCTGTGGTGGTTGGAACAGAATTAGACATGAACAAGTACCAATCAGCTGGCGTAAGTGCTTCATGAAACAACATAAGAGAATGTTGTGGGATATAACACTGAAGTTTTTCCTTAACATGGACTACAAGTGGAATTAAGTTCACTTAAAAAATCTTTTGGAACGTAACTGTAATTCTTCCCACTAAATGATGAGATGGAGCCATCCCTTTGAAATCCTAGGAATAGGACATTCCAGACGGAGAAAATTTGGTCTTGCTTGCTTATTGTTTTTCAATGAGCAATCTTATGAAATGGGAAACTATCATCAAGGATATTATGATCAATTTTAGTAAGAAATTTTAATAATGAATGCCTAACATTTTAATATCTATTTATTTCGATTTACTCAAGTGGCAGTTCAACAGAGGTTTCTTCCATCCACTGATTTACTCCACAAATACTTGAAGCAATCAGGAGTAGGCCAGGCTCTAGCTCCGAGGTTGGAATTTGATTGGCACACCATAAGGATGGTACAGATTCATACAATGAAGTGACCATCTTCCTCTTAGGATGAACGTTGCCAGGAAGCTGGAACAGAAGCAGAATAGGATAAGGCACTTCTACATGTAGCGCCTGTGTCCCAAGCTGCAGTTAATGCTTACCCTAGCCTGGCACAGTTTAGATGCTAAAACATTATTGCAGTCTGTCTCTTCTTTCTAAGACATCCTGTGCTTGGCTGAAGGTATTAAGGACATAGAGGAAAAAAACTGAGATATATACATATGTGTCTCTTCAGACATGGAGAGCTTCTCTGGATCCTATGGGTCAATTCCTATAAGTCTGTAATTCTTGTAACATGGCCAGCTTGAAGTGGAGAGTCAATCCAGAAATTCAATTCAAGTGTCCCTTACACGCTTCTGAGACTATACTACTCATATCACAAGCTGCAGCCTCCCTGGGTTCAGATTTGTAGGAAACACCATTCTGAGTGGGAGTGTAGGATTAAACCAAAGCATGCCATAGGTCTTTGTCAAGTGTTGTAACCACCTGAAAAACCTCTTGGAAATAGCTTTTTCCTCCTCTTTCATTCTCCCTTTAGTTTATGACTGTAAGAAACTAATTATTTACATTTCATCCTATAAGCAATTCAATTACTTGCTAAGTACCTTACTAATGCATACTACAGATGCCTAATTTTAGGCTTTCTTTTGTAAAACTAGTATCACAGAGTGAAAAAGTAAAACTTTGACATAAAGAATTAGTTGAATTTTAAGCAGAATCTCTAAATAGTGTAGATCCTTTCCACTCAAGCAGTGGCACAATGTGTGATCATGAGGTATACATGGGTGCCTTCTAATGACATTAAGAGTCATTTTATTCTCTACATTTTATTTTACCACCTTGGTTTTCAGAAAATAATGTCTAGGACATTATTATATATATTATATGTAATGATACATATTGCTCTATATCATTATAATAAAACATATAACATGTAATATAATTACATATTGTAAAAATGTATATATTATATGTGTTATATATAACATATAATTATACATGTATAATATATACATATATACATATGTATATATACATATATATGTATATACATATATGTATATATATTATATTTATATATATATGTTTCTCTTCTTTCTGTCAAACAAATAAATTACAGAATTGGATTGTGAATAGCTGATAGAAAATAAAATAATAAAGTTAAGAAATTATGGATTTTTGGGTCCGGCGGCATGGCCTAGCGGCTAAAGTCCTCACCTTGAACGCCCCGGGATCCCATATGGGCACCGGTTCTAATGCCAGCGGCTCCACTTCCCATCCAGCTCCCTGCCTGTGGCCAGGGAAAGCAGTCGAAGATGGCCCAAATCCTTGGGACCCTGCACCCTTGTGGGAGACCCGGAAGAAGTTCCTGGATCCTGGCTTTGGATCTGCATAGCACTAGCCGTTGTGGTCACTTTGGGGAGTGAATCATGGGATGGAAGATCTTCCTCTCTATCTCTCCTCTTCTCTGTATATCTGACTTTCCAATAAACAAATATTTTTTAAAAAGAAGTTATGGATTTTTTATAATGAAGTAAAAAATGAAGTAGAAAATACAAAAACACTGATGATATTTGTAATAATCGAATTTAAGTAACAAAAATATCTTTACTGATTGGCCTTGATGGCAATTTTAAAGAAGCAATATTCACCATGTACTTGCATAAAATCTATCAACAACAATAATTCTTGGAGAAAGTGTATGTTGGTTGATGCATTCCATGTATTATGAACATTTATCAGCAATCAGTACTGAGATGTGAGAAGCTAAATCCTTTTGTAATTTAAAGAATTCTGCTAATTAAAAAAAAATGAAATACCTGAATCGCCAAATCAGGATGACTGCTCACATATCAGTCATTTGTGAACTTGACTGTTCTTTCAATTTTCATACATTCTCCAGTTATATCAGACTCTGGAGGCTGGTATTGGATGTTACAGAATTGCCAGACACTTTCTTCATAAAGCTTTTCATTATAGTTACTCATGAACACAATATCATCACAGGAAAATACCTAGAATTTGAAATATTTGTATTTCTATATTTTTGAAACTGAGGTTTTCCATAACATTTTGAGTCTATTTAGCAACTGAAATATAGGCTTGTATTAACCCATACTATCTTGTTCATTAATATTAGGCATCTATAATAGTTTATTTTAAAAGACCGGAGTGGGACTCTAGCATTTTGTATATTTTTTGAGATGAAATGCTCTCCATTTGTTCTTCAATTTCCATTGTTGGCTTTTTACACATTGTTAACCTGTTTGAAATGTAAGAAATTATCAACACAACATTTTAAGTAGCAACAAAAGTTCCCCTTTTTTTCCTGTCACCATAACAGAAAAAAAAAATAGCATGTGCATAATACGTACATGGGGGGAAAAAAGTGCAGTTTAGAAATAAGATAAGTAAATGAAAGCAAAAAAATTCTTTTTTTATGAAGTACTAACATAAACCTGTAATATGAAACATCTATTAAAGGTTGAAGAAGAAAGAAAACTTCTCCAAAGTAGTGAGCTGCAAGTGTCAGGGAACATGTCTGGACGTGCTGCTTCTTCAGATGACAGTGATGATTCCGGATTAATTCAGCAGAGACTGAGTAGAAATCTTGATAACAAGCAATTTCGTATTAAGAAACCTGAACAATCTTCCCAGTGAGTATACAGCTATATATATATATATAAAATATATATATAAAATATAGTTTTATTCTTCTGTGAAAATTATTTCTAATTTTGGTGACTATGCATGATCAAGTAATTTGTTCACAGAGGATTTTAAAAATGGCTTGTAATTAGGAATGCATAAATCAGCAAAATAATTTTTTTCTAATCATACTGATAAGTATTTGTTTCAAAATGAACAATCATAATAAATAATGAAGAATCAGATATTTGAAGGATGTCTTGGAAGCACGTGTCAAAATTTGGAATATACAATTTTTTAACCTTGTAATGACTTTATTCTGGAACTAGACCCTAAAAGAAGACTTGATCTAATGTGCACATCCATGTGTACATATACTTAATGACCTTTATGATGCATTGTTATCATGCTACATAAGATACAGTGTGGAGTGAAAGTACAAGGTGACAAATTTATATTGTAGATTTCTAGTATTTACGGTAGAGGGAGGGGTTGTTCATGTTTGTTGGTGTAAGGTCAAACTCATCTCTCTTCCAAGGTCATCAGTAGCTATCTTACAGTGGCTAAAAATCCCCACCCATGCAGGGAGGAGAGCCAAAAGGAGTTATGTGTCCTCACTTTGAGCAAAGAACTCCTGCAATGACCTACCCTAGACAATCAGGAGTCCCTAAGCCTAGAATGAATGATACGGTGTTTTCCCAGAAACCCTGTTACATGTCATGTCCTCTTACTCAGTTTGAAAATTCTGCTAGGCTAGCTCCTACATTCAGTGGTTGCCAGATACTCACTTAGGCCCAGGAGCCTGTTTTGTTTTGTCCACAGAGAGAGCAGAAGGTTTGAAGAATCAGTTACTTCTGGGTACTCAGCTTTGTGAGTCTGAGTCCCCAAAACTGAAACAAGATGAGGAGATGGGGTAACCTCAGAGTCTCAAGTGAGTGCTTAGCTCCCTGCCAACCCCCCAGGCATGACTGAAAATTAGTGGAGAATGTGGGTTTATCCTTCTGATAATAATTCCCTGGTCACATGTGCAGGAGAGACATCACAGCCACTTTGGCAGATGTATTTGTGCTATTTCTGTGCTTGTCACTGGGCCCCCTTATGGGGTGTCATGTGCTTTTCCTTCACAAGGTTAGGTCAGTGTTCTGCTTCTCACGAGGGCTCCATCTCGGACTACAAAGGCCACTAGTTCCTCCATGCTGCATTATCACCAGTCACTCAGCTGGCTGCAGCTGGCTGTGACCTTGCTCTCAGAAGCTGGCATCTTCTCAGTCCCTGTCTATGAGGTTGCAGGGTGACATTCCTGCTCTTGTTGCATGTCTGTGTAGTCCACACTGCTTCATGGCGTCTGTCTCCTGTATGTATAATTTCCATGGCGAACCCCTCTCCAGCTCTCCCCTTGGAATGTCTTTATTGCACTTTTCTTCTGTTATTTACCCCTGATCTAAATCAGCATGTCCTCTCACCATTTGGTCATCTTAGAAGTTCTATCCTATTTTTTTTAAAAAAGATGCATTATTTAAATGAAAGGCAGAATTGCTGAGAGAGTGGGGAGGGCACGGAAGGAGGGTTTTCAGGTTCATTTTTAATAACTTTAATCAGACCAAGAGCAGAAGCTTATCAACGATCAGAATGTTCATTCTCTTATGACTACTTCTCATGTTTCTGTCTTTAAAGAAGAGATTAAATTGCATTTTAAAACCGATAACAAGGGGAGTATTTGAGAACATCATTTTTCGAACATTAGTTACAGAGTAGGAACGTGACTGCTCGCTGGGTTTTTCCTTTCCTGATTAATGAATTTTAAAGCAAGATTTAGTTTTTCTTAAGAAGAAACCAGTAAATCCTACTATGCTGTGTGACACAATTAGGAAGCAGTTAAGAAAAGAACAGTGTCAAAAAGAAGTTGATGTGAAACTACGACTTGCACTGACATGCAAAACATTAAGAATGGATTTGAAGACTTCAAAAAATAATTTGAACCAGGTAAATTACTGTTTGATAAAATTTGTACATCAGAATTGAATCATGTTTCATATAATGCCCTTTTATTTAGGAAACCAAAATATTATTTCAAAATAATGAATTATGACACATGTTGGTAGTACAATGGTCATAAATACTGGTACTTAGTGACATTTACCAAGTTGTAAGACTAAAGCAATGAAAGTTCAGTTGTGTTTAATCATTCACTGAAAGATTAAATTAGATATTTTTATATTAAGCAGTTTTGAAAATACAGCAACTATATAAAGCATTTTGTAATGCATTCTTATTTTAAATTGTTATTTCCATGCATTTCAGCATTGTTTCTGTCCTATTTACTGAAAATGAATTTACATGGCGTCCATTTGAGAATAAGGTCTTGATACGTTAATATGTTCTTTTAACAGGTTTTTTTAAGGGGGTAAGTTTCTGTTTTAAGTCTTAAAGATTCTGTTTTTCAATGGCTTGTATCTGAAAGCCAAGTGAAATGTAGGTTAGGTAGGAGAAAAGGAGACTGCAGAGTCATCATTCTGGACAAGAGTGTAAAAAATATTGACAAGATCATATGCGGATCAATCACCTTTCCCCCAAAAGAGGGAAAGAGAAAGGGGATTAGGAGGCATTTTTCTTGAGGAGTTTTCATGCTTGAAAGTGTTTGTTATATAGATTTGTATGAGTAAGGGATAATGAAAGTATAGAGCGTTTATACACCACATGCATTTGTATAGATGATCTTCCCAGAATCTCAAAACTCTAGAAAGAACAATGGGGATCTTAGCATGGGCAGTGATTTTCCTCAATTAGATATGCTATTGGACAAGAACATTTATGACCTTTATGCAACCCTGTTTATAGGACACACATGTCCTACCTGTGCAATTCTGCTATTATCTATAACACATCCCTCATCTTGCATCGTTTCCTGAATTTTCATAATCAAGGATTGTCTCACATCTACCGTCAAGGCAAGTTATTAAGTGTAGTGAATTACACTTTTCTGTTCTTCATTTTCCTATATGGATACTCCTGCTCCAGAGCACAGAATAGAATGGTACTTATAGCCTAATCTTGCTGCAGGAGAGTGTATATGACTTGAATGTGATTTTACTGCATAGATAAATGAGTGGTTTTTAGTTGAGCAGATGGTTGCTGAATTTGCGGCATCATGTCTTTCTGTAGGAAAGCACACTAGCGCAGTCTGGAAGTAGTGCAATGGTTTTGCCTGCATTCCACAGTGATCAACAAGAGCATACAAATGACAAGCTATCTGATGTCGGGGAGCAAAAAGGAAAATCTACTGGTCAGTATATCTCAATGAAATACTCTGTTGAAATACTGCTCTTTGAGTAACTCTGTCCAGTTGTTAATTCTATTTTTTATTTTCATTCATTCTTTCTTTATATAACAAACTCTTCACTGCTGAAACTGCATCATACCATTGAAATTAAGTCTTACTGATGTTTTGCTTCATGGAAAAATTAGTATTGGACATAACTATAGATATGTATACATATACATATGTATCTAAAATTCCCATTGTAAATGTTCTAAAAATTGGATCTGTGATTCTATTTTGTAGAGGCAATATTCACCTTAAGATCAGAAGATAAAACTGCAGCGTCAACTTCAGATTCTCAGGTATTGTTTCTTGTGATGTTAAAAACAACACCAAGTATTATAAAGCACATAAAGTGCTACCATTTCTTTTCACATCTTTTAAAATTTTTGTGAGAAGAGAGAGAAAATGGGAAAATGGACATGCAGACAAACAAGATGAATTTCTGTAATGCTTGGAACATATCCAAGGAAAATCCAGACACAGGATTGAGAAACAATCTATGTCTGCTTCATGGGTGGCATCCAGCTTCTTCATCCATCCCCTGTGTCACTCTGTAGTAGGAGGATGCTAGGATCAGCATGTAGGTACTGTCTGCAGGTGGGATGAGGGTATATTCAGAGACCTTTTAAAATGTTGCTATGATGACTCCAGTTATTGAAAGGAGGAAGGGAGGGAGGCAGGAATGAAGAGAGAGAGAGAGAGAAAGAGAGAGAGAAGAAAAATTTTAAAAGGTGGAGTTACAGAGAGAGTGGTAGAGACAGAAAGGAGCTATGGTGGTTTAAATACAGGAGCCAGGAGATTTTTCTGAGTCTCTCATGTAAGTGCAGGTGCTGAAGTACCAGGACCATTGTCAGCTGATTTCCCAGACAGATTAGCAGGGAGATGGATCACTAGTGCCATAAGCAGGACTCAAACTAGCACCCATGTGAGAAATCAGCATTGTAGACTGTGGCTTTAACCACTCTGCCACAATGCCAGTCCTAACTCTCACTAAATTCAAAATGACAGAAATTATGCCATGCATCTTCTCAGAGTACAAAGAATAAAACTAGAAGTCAGCCAAAAAAAAAAAAAAAAGCAGAACATTCATAAAGATACAGGATTTTTTTAATGCTATTGATGGGTCATTTGAAGAACTCACTAATTTTTCTTGTAATAAACGAAAATGACAATACAACGTATAAAAGCCTGTGGGTTACAGAAAATTAGTATCAAGTGGGAGGTTGATACCATTTTGTTTATTGCAAAATACTGAACTTGTGGACCTGTGGCAAACAGTTTTGATAGGGCCAGCACCACTCTGATACCAGGATGTGGATCAAAGATGCAACACAATAAGAACACTACAGACTGATATTCTTGATAAACACAAGTGCAAAAAATATCAACACAATCATAGCCAAATCCAAAATCATATCAGAGGGATCATCCACTGGGACTGGTGCTGTGGAAGTCAGCTAAGCCAGTATCCATGTGGGCACTGATCCACTTACTGTCTGCTCCATTTCCAATCCAAGTCGCTGCTTATGCCCTGGGAAAGCAGCAGAGGATGGCTCAGGAGCTTGGGCCCTTTCATTCATGTGGGAGGCCAGAAGATGTTCCTGGATCCTGGCTTCGGATCAGACGAGCTCTGGCCATTTCAGCCGTTTGGACTACAAAACAAATCTTTCTTTCATTGTGTAGCCCAGGTCTGGACATTTTGCTATTTTAAGGCCATTGCAGGAGTGAACCAGTGAATAAACACTCTCTTTCTTTCTTCTTAAGATAAATGAATAATTTTTTTTTAAAAAAGATATTGTGTTACCTTTCATTTAGAGATTAAACATTTTGAATACTCAAAGGTTAATATACTAAAAATATTTAAATACTGCTTTTAATGTCACTTTCTGACTTTCAAATAAATATTTTGTATTTTAGAATGCCTGCAGATAGACATATGCCAAAGAAAACTAGGTACAGAGTACCTATTTATCTTACATCCATCTTCTTGTATTTTTAACATCTTACAAAAACAGTATACTTAGGACACTTGATCACATTCTGCTATTCCTATTAACCACCCATATTAATATTTTAGTCATACCCACCATCCCCTATTTTTATACTCAGATGTCTTCTTTCCACAACCCTCCCAGCCTGTTAATCACAGTCTATTAATGAACAGTCAATGCTCATACTGAAGGTCTTATTTTATTTTAACTGCCACATGCTGGGAAAAATACACGTCTGTGTCTGCATCATTGCCCTTACCTCTATAGCCTCCAGTTTCCAACAATGATAGAATAGCAACTGTTTTCATAGCTGAATGGCATCTTACTGTATTGTATAAATCAGATTTTCTTCATCAATTCACAGTATAGATAACTTTAGTTGATTCTACATCTTAGCTACTGTGGGCAGTGATGATATAAGCACGGTAGAGAAAGTACCTTTTATTCAAAAATATCATGCATGTTGAATATCATCTCCAGCAGTGGCATTGCCAGATATTATGGCAATTCTGTGTCCCTTTTTTTTTTTTTTTAAGAAATGCTTTAGAGTTTTCCTTTGTGGTTGCACTGATTTACCTTCCCCAGAACAGCACAACACAGTTACTTTCTCCACATCACCATCAGTGTTTATCACTGTCTGTATTTTGATCACAGCTATTCTGACAGGACTCTGTTTTTCACATGCACTGCATTGATGGTTCGTGACACTGAACATTGGTTCCTACATCTCTTGGCCATTTGCTTTTCTATTTTGTAGTAATGTATTTCGTTTCCTTCCCCTTCACATATTAACTGGTTTCATTTTGTTAGTGTTGATTTTTTTTTCAGCCCCTAATATATTCTGGGTAGTTATATTTTATTTGAAAAGTATTTACAAATATTTTCTTGTATTCTGCTGAATATTTCTTTACTACTTTTTTTTCCCCTTTGTGGTGAAGAAGCTTATATGTTTGTTACAGTGTCCATTTGTCCTGTTCCCTTTTGCTTCCTGTGCATCTGGAGTCTTCCTCTATCCAAAAGCCGCATTTCACATCCATTATAAGGGCAACAAAATTCTCAAAGCTAAATAATATCAATATTTTGAAATTAACACTTAATTCAGTGGGGGTAACATTGTCAATTTACTCCACATATGCCACATGTGTGACAATATAAATCCTATACCTCTTAATACTTTTGCTCAGTAATGTTTTTTTGAAATACATTTTGGTAGGTATAATTTTATTTTTATCCATGCCAATTCCACTTAAATGTAGAAATAGTCTCAATTTATATATTTTCATGATGGCTCAATTCTTAAAAACAGCATCTCCTTCTTATTAACTATTTGTGACAAATTGTTTACCAAATTTATATTTGATTTAAATTTCTTATTGGAATTTATAATTTACTTGAGCATTTTTTACAAATAATTTACATACAATTTTCATTTCAAGCCAAAATTGTTATCTCTTGGGTACGACTTTATCCATTACGAAGATTATCGTAGCTGCTTGTAATTTTTGGCATTGGATTTCCAGTCTCACATTCATGAGACCCTTCAGGACTTGTGAATGGCCACTGTGGAGTGAGTAGGGGAGGAAGGCTATAGGAATTGCGATCAGAAATGATGGTGGAAACCAGATTCTATAAGGCCTTGAAGTCAGTGAGACTTCACTCTTGTGCTGAAACAGGAATCTATTGGAAGCATTTGAAAAAAGATTACATTTTTAATAATTCTGATGTTAATTTATGCTTCTATCAAACACAGAAAATTATTCAACACTGTAGAATTCACCAGTTACAATCCTATACCCAACTGTTTCAGATACTTCAGTTTCTGCGTGTTGCAATTTCACCAAGGAAGTAATGGATAGTGAGCTGAATCTACTGAACAAGTCTGATTCTGCTTAGTTAACAAGATAACCCCAGGGTCGGCAGTGTGATATAGTGGTTATGCAGCGTCTTGTACTTCTGACGTCCCGCATGGGTGCCGGCACAAGTCTCTCTGTTCCACTCCCAATACAGATCCTTGCTGATGAGCCTGGGAATTGAGTGGAAGATGACCTAAGTCCCTGGGTCCCTGTCACACATTTGGGAGACCTGGAGGGAGATCCTTGCCCTCATTTCACCCTGTCATATCCCTAGCATTACTGCAGTCATGTGGGGGTCATTAACCAGGAGATGGAACATATGTCTATTAATTTCACCTTATATTTATGGAACTTTGTCTTTCAAATAACTCAACAAATAAATCTTCTAAATAGCAGAAGAGAATGCTCTCTGTGCTAAGTTCAGTAATAAACAGAAATGTCTATGCATGAGGCAAGAAGAATGATAATGTGATATTTTTCAAATCACAAATTTGCCTTAACATTTTTCAGAATTATATCCCAATAAGCCTATTGTTGAGGTGAAAATACAATGAAGACAAAAAATGTCGTAAAATACCTAACAACACTGTCCCATACAGCGTTGGTCCCTACCTTTGTGATTGTGTGGTTAACTATAACCTGTGATTCACTGTTGCTAGGAAGAATCAACAGAGTGTTTTATGAGATATTACTCCTTTAGGAAAACATAAAAATTCAAATTATGCTTACTGATGAATGTGTATATCAATTTTACACCATTGTAATTTTCAAAGTATGAGTTGTGTATGCCTTATAATTTAGTATAAATAATATGATTTAAGAATGAATTGATTTCAGAAATAGTAACTGAAATGTCATATAGGTGAAAGGTTAGTTACCTTCAAAATATACTGGCTGATATGCAAAAAAATGTATTGTAGGTTTTGACAGAGGTTATTACCAGTTATTACGTTAACATATACAACGAAATACAGGACTTGAAGAAGAAAGTGAGTGACATCAGGAGACAAGTATGTATGAAATTTATCATATCAGTGAAAATTCAAAGTCAGCTGAACACAAGTGTTTTAGAATACAGACTTCATCTTAAAATTATATATTCATAATTATTACAGCATAATTTTTTATTTACAATGTATATATTCCTCAAGCACATATTTCCATTTTCTTAATTTTTTTGAATAACCACATGTATACCTAAGAAATTTGAGAATTATGCAGTATGCTTCCCGAGTTCAGAGATTTCATTTTATTTCAAGCAATAGTTACAGTGATAGCTCTACTATTATACTTTATCGGTTGAGGGAAGAGTGTTTATTGGAATGCTCCAGAGCTTGCTTTTATTTCTGTCATTCACTCTTTTGAACTGATACACAGCTTACATATATTTATTTATAGACTTAAGTATGACTTTCATGGAAAGGACATTATACTCTCCTCTAAAATATTTTGAGTTATTTTGAGTTTTTTGAGTTTTTTGAGTTATTTTGAGTTTTTTGAGTTATTTTGAGTTTTAGGTCTATATGAAATTGTAGGCATTTGTTTAATTTTCCTTTAATTTCCTATAATGGAAGAGTAGTCATATTCAAATTAAATACAGCGTACACTGCTAGGAAAACTATCTAGGGGAGGAGAGAAAGATGGCAGAATAGAGTGAGAAGATGTTAAAGGAACAGAGACAGGATTAGGGGACTAGAAACAGAGAAGGCATGATGCCAGGCAATGGGAGTGGGCAGGCTGACGGCAGAACCACCTGGAGACCATGGGCAAGAGGAAGCAGTGGAGATAGCAAGGTAGAGCTGCAGGGAGCAGATAGCACAGCAGTGACAGGAGCTGCACAGGCAGGCAGTTGGGAAGGAAATATCACCAGGAATACAGAAGCAAAGCAAGCTTTAGATTTGTGATTTTTAAATTTCGTCATGAAATGAACAATGGAGCACCCGCAGACAGGTACGAGAATGGGGTGGAGCTCATATTGCAGCTCCCAGCAGTGCCAAAGGTGGCACATTGGGCACCATATGCAGTATTGTGGTAAAGCTCCTGGCAGGAGGATAATGTGAGATGTGCATGCTCTAAGCTAAGGAGGAACTCTGCCACCTCAGGCATCTTGCTGGTCTCACCAGGAAAATAATATCGACTTGTTATCTCCTGGGTTCCATACAATACAGGTCCAGCTTGCCCCCCAGACCTAGATACCAGAAGGTTCCAGCAATAAAAGTCTGAGTGCTGCCAACAGGGATTGGTGGTGTTGACAAACCTGTGAGCCAGTTTAAAGTCACAGCTGGTGTCTGCCTAACCCTGGGCACTGCTGGAACCATAGTGAGAGAAAGGCTGAGCAGACAATGACACAGCATCATTGAGGGTGGAGAAAGAAGACCGAGGTACCCTAGCCGCAGAGGTCACAGCAGGAGCGCAGCAGGAGTGGAGTGAATGACATAAAATCAGAACTGGGCAGTGAACAAGATCAGTAAGCTCAACCTGTGTACTGTATGACACAGCATAAAGATTAGTTCTGAGAAGAAGTATTGCTAATCTGAAATGCAGTGGCCACATGCAAAGAAGAAGCACATGGAAGAGGTGACTGATTCCACTCCTCAAAAAAGCAGCCAAAGACTATTTCAATCTCAAAGTGGAAATTAATAAAGATTTTGAGGAACTGCCTGATAAATTAAAAACATCATTATAATGCACTTAAAAAACAGTGAGAAGCACATACAGGAGTTGAAGGAATATAAGGAATACATTTCACCGGAAATAGCAACACTGAAACAAAACCAAACTAAGAAGTGAAGGAAATCAAAATCAAAATAAGAAACGCAGCATGTAATACAACAAATTAAAAACACAATGGAATGTTTTTTTTTTATTTTTTTTAAAGATTTATTTTTATTATTTTTTCATTGGAAAGGCGGATATACAGAGAGGAGAGACAGAGAGGAAGATCTTCCATCCGATGATTCACTCCCCAAGTGAGCGCAACGGGCCGATACTATGCCGATCCAAAGCCAGGAGCCTCTTCCGGGTCTCCCACGCGGGTGCAGGTTCCCAAGGCTTTGGGCCGTCCTCGACTGCTTTCCCAGGCCACAGGCAGGGAGCTGGAAGGGAAGCGGGGCTGCCGGGATTAGAACCGGCGCCCATATGGGATCCTGGGCGTTCAAGGCGAGGACCCTTAACCACTTGCGCCACCGCGCCGGGCCCAACAATGGAATGTTTTAACAGCACAATGAATGAGGCAGAAGCATTTCAGAATATGAAAACCCCACATGAGAAAATGCTGAAACAGCCAGAAATATGCAGGAGGAACTGAGGAACACGAGGAAAATCATTCCGTGATAAAGTGATACTATCAAAAGGTTAACCAAAGAGTCAGGGGATTCCTGAAAGAAGAGTTGGATTAAAAGATGTCTTCAAAGAAACAATAAATGAACATCTTCCCAACCCGCAGAAAGAAAGGGGAATTGAAGTACAGGAAAGGAGGAGAACACAAATGGAATTAACCTGAAGCCATCTTCACGATGGCACATCATAATCAAAATCTCTTTAGTTGAACGTAAAGAAAAGATATTTAATTATGTACACAAGTAACATCAGATAGCAAATCAAGGAATACCCATCAGACTCTCAGATGACATCTCAGAGAAAGCCTTACAGACAAGAAGAGAATGGAGTGACATATTCCATTTCCTAAAGGAAGAAAAAAAGTCAGCCCAGAATAACATTGTTGGAAAAGCTCTCATTTGTATTTGAAAATAAAGTATTTCAAAAGCAAGCGAAACAGGAAAGACTTTGGCTGTACCAGTGCTGCACTACAAATGGTGCTTAAAAGAAAGAATATGACTCATCAAATCCAAAAGCAAAAGGGGATAATATCCCAATAAAACTTGAAGAGTTAAAATGGCAGGACCAAATCACTACCTGATGATGTTAGCCCAGAGCATGACTGGCTTAAATTCATCTAACTCGCCAATCAAAGGACATAGATTACTGCACTGAGTAAAAAATATAATAATAATAATATTAACAAAAGCTTATTAGCGTTTCACCCCATGACTTTTAACCATGTCAATTTGCCCAAGATAGCACAAGCGTGGTACAAAACCAATTCTGGCATCCTGACTTTTCCACAGACATTTTTTCTCAAAAATTCCATTATAAGCATGTTTGCCATCTAAAATAGTATATTAATGTAATTCTTGAGATAGCCATGATAATTAACATATGAGTGATATTACAATCTATGTGAAGTGCTTGGATTTCCAAATTAAAACTACCATAAAGCCATGTTCTAGCTTTTGCTATTTGGACAAGATTTGAAACACCAAGTCTATCGGTATATCTCATTGTTAGAATAGGTTTTAAAAGCTTTGGGGTAACCAATCGGATGTTGTGGATTTAGACTTGATAACAGAAATACCATATTTTCAAACTCAAGTCTGCAGGCCCAAAGTAGCCATGAACAATATGCAAATGAAGTGAAGATGCTGTGTTCCAATAAAGTTTAAATCGCAAATTCAGGTAATAAGCAGATTTGTGCCAAGTCCTGCTGAATGTTGCTTTGTTTTGTTTGTTTTTTTAGTTCCAAGATGCACAGGATCACCAAAAAGATGTGATACATAACGCTGAGAAAATGCAAGATCAACTTAAAAAGTACAATACAAATTACAATACAAAATAATATGTCTTTGTAAATTGTGATAGTTGCATCAGAATTACCTGTTATGACAATAAGTATATCTATTATACCTAGGGAAAAGTCTGCGTTTCAAGCTATTTCTGTTTTGAAATGAGTATTTTTGCACAATACCCCTGTATTTTGCTAATTAGCTACCAGTAATATATAAAACTTTCATATATTTGCCAAATCATTTACTATTTAAAAAATTTAAATATATACAAACACCTTAAATATTTTTAAAATGTTGCATTTTCTTATGTCAATGACAATATTCTATTTGAATCATGCATTTTAGGCTTAATTGTGAAAATTCTGAATTGAAAGATTCAATCAGGGAAAAAGACAGAAAAATTGAACATCTTAAGAATAATCTGTTGAATCCGCATTTAGTAAGTGCAACCTTGGATTTCTGTTAAACCACAAGGGGCTACATATTTCTCCAGTAGAAAATTATAAAAAAATTATAAAATACAGCCTCTAGCAGAGCTTCACTTGATCTGATAACACATGATTACACTATGTTGGAGATAAAACAAAAGATTTAAAGAAGGAATTAAGTGAAATCAGTGGACATGTGCGTATGAAATTTATGGAAGAGAAATTGTGTATCTAGTTAGATAACACTAATTAATTTATTTACGTGAAAATCAGACTTATAAAGCAGGAGACAAAGGCTTACATTCACACATTTATACTTTTATGTTCACAGTGACCAGCAGTGAGCCATGTCAAAGCCAGGAGTCAGGGTCTTCGTACAGGTCTCCCACGTGGGTGGCGGGACCCAAACTCTTGGGTAATCCACTGCTGCTTTCCTACAACATTCACAGGAATCGCACTGGCCATGAAATGGCCAGAACATGAACCAGTGCCCACAGGGAAGCCTGCATCACAAGAGGTGTTTTGACTAATATGACACGATGCAGGACTTGTACTCCACATTCCTTTTAAAGATAATACCTACCATTAGGGAAGTTGAGGATCGCATATCATTCCTCACGTGAGCTACTTCTTTGTCTTTATACTTAGAATCCCTTACTGGACCAATATCACTTCATTCGGTATGTGGAATCTCGGGCCCCACCTCTGCAGTCAGAATCTACAAGATCGCCAAGGGTGGGCATTTGTGGAATGCCAGGGCTCCAATCTTGGTTTTGCTTCTAATTCCAGTCTCTAGCTGAAGTGCATCCAGGGATGAAGCAGGTGGCATTTTAAGTCTTCAGTCTTTGTCACTCACATGAGATCCAGATGAGCCCCCAGCTGTCAGATTTACCTGGGTGCATCTCTGTTTGCTGAAAACATTTGGGGGAACAAACCAGTGTTATCAAAGATCTACTTGTCTTGGGCCCGGCGCGGTGGCGCAGTGGTTAAGGTCCTCGCCTTGCACGCCCGGGATCCCATATGGGCGCTGGTTCTATCCCGGCAGCCCCGCTTCCCTTCCAGCTCCCTGCTTGTGGCCCGGGAAAGCAGTCGAGGACAGCCCAAAGCTTTGGGGCCCTGTACCCGCATGGGAGACCCGGAAGAGGCTCCTGGCTTTGGACCGGCATAGCATCAGTGGTTGCGCTCACTTGGGGAGTGAATCATCGGATGGAAGGTCTTCCTCTCTGTCTCTCCTCTCTGTATATCCGCCTTTCCAATAAAAATAAAATAAATCTTAAAAAAAAAAAAAAAGATCTACCTGTCTCTATCTACCAAAATAATTAAAGATCCAAAAAATCTTAGATGATTTGGGCCCAGTGTGGTAGCATACTGGCTAAAATCTTTGCCTTGAACACTCCCAAATCTCATTTGGTCACTGGTTCTTCTCCCAGTGGCCGCACTTCCCATCCAGCTCCCTGTATGAGGCTTGGGAAAGCAGTCGAGGATGGCCCAAAGCCTAGGGACCCTGCACCCCATGTAGGAGACCTGGAAGAGGCTCCTGGTTCCCGGCTCCTGGCTCCTGAATTCAGATCGGCACAGCTTGGATGGAAGATCTTTTCTAACCTCTTGAGAAATTCTTGGTGTTGTAAATTTCTATTTTTCTTCCTGTTGTTGATTTTGTATTGTGCCTTTTCATGTAAGAGGGATGTGTGGTGACTGTGTAATGGGGACTTTCATGTCCAGATGTGAGGATGCAGTGCAGAGTTCATCTCTACTTCCAGATGGACTACTAATGAAACTATTAGCTGTATCTTGACAATGGGGTGCTGGACTCTCTGCCACTGTCCATGCCCACAATGATGAACATGTGGCTGTTTATGAAGAGCTATGCTATAGTAATAATATAGGGGAATTTGGAAGGGGTAGAGGAGATTTGGGGAAGGGGCATGGGAAATCCCTGGGTCTGTGGAACTGTATCATAGATTCATGATAATAATTTAAAGAGAAGTTAAAATTAAATTAAATTAAAAGATCTTAGATGATTCGTTGCTCTTTCAATTTTGAGAAACTTGATCTTAAACAACTATTTATTTTTTTTAAAAAATACACATTTTAAAATATTTGTTACCTATATGAGGAGATTGCAAAGTCATGCAGATCTCTGGGTAAGATGGAAAGGAATGGGTTGGAGGAGGTAAAGGTGTGAAGGAAAGGACCTTGCCGTCTGTCCTGTGACTGTGGGTGCTAGGTGGTAAGGCTGTACTGCTCTTTTGTCCATATCACATCAGTGTCAGGAGACAGAGGTGATTCCCTGATTTCTTTCTAGGAATCCTGATTAAGGGAAGAATGTTCTGAGGTCATTACTTGTGTAGTCTCACCCTGAGATGGTGCTGGTTTTGTTGCGCCAAATGTATTATAAGTTTTCATACTTACTGGCTATTTATGTCTGCTTTGGTATGTCCATAGCCTTAGATGCTGGGTGGAGAATTTGACCTGTAGCATTGTTCAACCTGATCTTTCCTTCTTTTGGTGTGACACTCAAGGTCCTCTATTGAATTAGAGAGGTTGACTGTCCTGTCTTTCACGCACATCCCAGTATATTGTCTTTTATTACACAAAGTCAGCAATAGGAATGACCCAGTTCCACAAGTGCTCCAAGACCAGATGTCCCTGTGGTTTTCCTTAAGGTTGCAGATTGTTTGGAGTGGTCCCATTGTTCTGATTCCTAAGAGCCCCTACTGAGTTGGGCCCTAGATTCATCTTTTACGTGCACCAGTGGACCTTATAGCTCAACCTAGGTTGTTCTAGACCTAGGCTCATGTGCACCAGCAGATGCTGCAGGCTGGTTGGAGCAATCACGAAGAACTCCAACCAGGACCATGCCCAGATCCAGCTAGTGGGTGCTGCAGACTAGGAGGGAGAACCCTGAGGATCCCTTCCAGGCCCACCCCCAAACTGGCTTTCAAGTGTGTTGGCAGTTGCTGCAGCCCAGCCCAGCCCAGCCCAGCTTGGCCAGCCCCAAGCTTCACTTTCTGTGTGAAATGGTGGGTTCTCTGTACTGGCCCAGGCTGCCCCAAGGCCGGCACTTACTTGTACTGGTGGGTGCTGTAGCCATGTTGGGAAGACCTCAGGACCCCTTCCAGAGCTGCCCCCATACTAAGCATCACATGTACCAGTGGGTGCTGCAGCCTGGCCTGGCCCACCCCCAAACCTGGCTTCTACCTGTAACCAGTGGGTGCTATAGACAAAGTCACAGAGTACCCTCGGGACCCATTCCAGGTCTGCCCCCAGACCTGGCCCTCATGTCGCAGGGAGATTCTATATCCTAGCCTGTTCCAGTCTGCCCGTAGACCTGGCTCCTGGATTCTGGCTTGGCACCAGTAAGAGCTGCAATCTGGCCTGGACTGTCCCCAGATCCAGCTCTTACTTGTATTGGTGTATGCTGCAGCTTAGTTGAGGGAACCCTTGATGACCCCTGCTGGGTGCTGCGGCTTAGCACAGCTGACCCGGGCTGTGATGTAGTATGTTTCTCATGGGCATGTTAGAGATATGCTGCTCAGTATGGAATTCCTGCTGCAGTGCAACATATGACAACTTCCTATTGAATAGCACAGAGAAATAGTCTACAATTTATACATGGAGAAAGACTCTTGGATAAAATTTCATGCAGTGCTTGGGGTGTGTTCTGTCCCTTATGCTTCCCATGTGATGCCATTTTCAAAGGTGTGAGCAAATACAACTTGTGTGGGAGACCACACGCATTGAAACATCTCCAGTTGAAATTGTTGAAGTTTATGCAGTCATGAATGATATTTTGGACCAGGTGACCCATATTTCAATAACTCAACTTTGCAATTTTGTCACAGATATCACCATTGACCTTATGTAGGTTAAGAGGTGTAGTTGTGTGCCAATATCCAGGTATTGGCATATTTGGATCAAATATTGAAAAACTTTGTTTTATTCTTTCACTTTTTAGTTCCTCAAAGCCAGAGATAAATATCAAGAAGCTGTGCAAAATACTGAGATGTCACAAGATCATCTGGAAAGGTACAGTTCAAAGTAAAATGCAGAATTCCTTCAGTCTTCATAAAGCGTATAAGACATGGACTATGACAAATTGACCAGTTAACACAGCTACCTGAAGTCAGATAAAATTTTCAACTTTAAACTATTTTGAGACTTATACTTTTTGCACGTTATCCATCAATGTTGAATTTTACTGAGAAAATACACATAGAAACACAGTTGTCAAATATTTACTCTTAGAGATTTACACAATTATATTTTCTTGCATGTTTGCAGAAATCATGTGCATTTTAGATGTATATGTGAGTGTGGTTATTTTGAATTTAAGTTATAGGCTTGAATGTGCAAATTCTGACCTGAAAAATACAATAAAAAGGCAAGCAATCTTAACTGAAGAGCTTCGGAAAATCCTGATTTCAACACAAGGTTTGGTAAGTTAAAATCTTGATTTCTGTTATACCTGTAAAAAGTCTCATTGATAAGTATGTTTACTTTCTTCCTATGGATACTAATTGCTATGAGCAGGCAAATCCACTGCTCATAGTTAGTTTTATATAGAACAAATAGAATAAGTTCACAAAGTTAATAATGTTGATATTATACTCTAATTAAAAAGAGTGATAATTAAAAACAATACTTTGGAGACTGGCATGGTGATGCCGCAGGCTAATCCTCTGCCACGTGGTGCTGCCATCCCATAGGGGCACCAGTTCATATCCCAGCTGCTTCACTTCCAATCTAGCTGTCTGCTTATGGCTCAGGAAAACAGCGGAAGATGGCCAAAGTTCTTGGGCCTCTTTGCTTTTGGGTGAGATCCAGAGGTGGTTCCTGGTTCTCAGCTTTGGATCAACTCAGCTCTGGCTGTTGCAGCCATTTGGGGGATGAAACAGCAGACAGAATACCTTTTCTGTCTTTCCTTCTCTCTCTCTAAAATCTGCCTTTCAAATAATAAAAAAAGAATCTTCAAAAACAATACTTTACGTAGCCTACATTTTGTATAATTATGCATGGTAGATACATTTAACCTTTTGGGTACACCAAGTAAGTGTCACCATCAACATGCATTTACTGCTGTCACTTAAAGTCCCTGCTTATATTGTAAGACTTTTTAAACTACAGGAAAGTTGAATGATGACTTCAGCTAGATGTCTTGAATAATACTTATTTTCATGAATCGATACCAGGTCATTATCCAGGCTCTGTTTCTCACCATTGAAGGTTTTTCCAAAGAGTTGTTAAGAACAAAAATGGGAATGAACGCACCATGAGAGCCGTACAGGGTAACACTGCTCTTGGAACTGGAGGTTCAGGACCAAAACTCTTCTCTTTCTCATTTATTATCACTTCAAAGGCTTTAATATCAGAAAAGAAAATAATGACAATATATTATGTGTAGTGATTGCTTTGTTAACTGTTTACAAAGGAAAATGGGACTCTCCTGTCATATATGCTTCACTTCAAGGTAATTAAGAAGATAAGATTCTTGTAAACACTAATCTGAAGAAATTAGGTAATTGCTCCTACTGGATAGTTTCTTTAAGTCACCATGCTGAAGTGCATTTGCATGATACAATAAATGTCTAGGGCTATAGAATACTTATGTTGATTAATTTTACTCATAAGTCAGCAACCACTAAAATACTTATTGTAGGCCTGAAATAAATAAGAACTAATTTATTAATATACCTTCTGTACTTGAGCCTTGAATGCATGTTGACAAGTTTTACAAATGGTGCATTTATTTTTTCAAAAATCAGAGTTAGAGACAGATTCTCTGTTTCTCTTGCTATTGGTTTATTTTCCAAATAACTGTAACATCCAGGGCTGGGCCAGGATAAAGTAAGGGGTTAGGAACTTCAACTAGGCCTTGCACATGAATGCAAGGACTCAAGTAATTGGATTATTATTATTTTTTTTTTTTTGCTGCTTTCCCAAGTGCATTAGAAGGGAGCTGGATCATAAATGAACCAGCCAGGATGGGAACACATGTCCAGATGTAATATTGATGTCACAGTGGCAGGTTTTCCCATGACACTACAGTGCCAGCCTCTGAGATGTAAGGGGTGTCTATGGATTGGAGTGCCAGGAGACATCCTTTTATTCCACAAACTTTTACAGCAATATGTTAAGGATGAGTTTGAAATGTGGTATAGAAATACTAGTCATTTGTACATCTGCCCTACGAATCAAATTTTAATAAGAAATGGCTTTCAACAATTCAATCAAGAACCCCTAACTTTCCCAGAAGATTACCTCTTGAATCCTTTGAGTGTATCTGAGTTGAGATATTCAATGGAACCAATTTTGAAGTGATGAACTTAAGCAGGGAAGTGGAGATAGCTCCCCACCACCGAAGTGTCCCAGTGATGTAGTTGAATGTGCATCTGAAAGGAATTTGAGAAGTGTTTCCTCAAGTCACATCTTGTGGCAGAAGTGATTGCAGAGAAAATGGAGGTAAGTCATAATTTGAAGTTTGGAAAAGCTCTACATTAGAAAAGAAAGTAGATAAGAAAATAGAAAAGAAAGGTCAGAATCCTTAAACACCCAATTCCCGGATTAGAAAAATCACTCTAGGCTCAAATAAGCACCTGCAGCAATCAACATTAAAAGTACAGTATTAGCTATTTACAAAAGTAACCATTGCAAGCAATTATCTTGGGAAGTTTGGCTAAAGATGTAATCTATGCCAAGTGAGCTAGAAGGTGATAAAAAGAAAATAAAATAAATTACCTGAACAGTGAGATCAGGGTTATAAATATAGATTTGGGAAGAATAAAAGACTTGTATAAAAATCTCTGGTTGCTGCATTTAGAAGTGGAGTAGGCATATAGGAGACATGAAGAGGGTATGGGCACCCATTGCCCATTTTGCTGAGAAACGATGCAGAGTAAGGAGTAAAACTGGATCCTGTATGAATCTAAAACAAAATTTTATTGGTTTATAAGAGGGTAAATCATAATTTAGTGTGAAGGTGTACCAGACTGTACATTAACAATTACTAAGGAAGGGTAGAATTAAGGCATGGTTGGAAAAACCACAGGAATCAAATGTTATGTTTTTTATTTCATGGAAAGTAATTAAACTTCATTTAAAGACAGCACAAAAGAAGAAATGCAAATACTCTTAATTTATCTCATTTTAAATCATGTGAATATGAGAATTATGCATGGCAATAACCTTTTTACTAGGAGATATAATTGCTTTAACTCAAAGGAAAAATTGCATTGAAAATGTTACACCTTGCTCAATTTTAAATTATTAAATTGAATCCATTTTCATACCTATATTAGTATAACATACAATTAATTCTATTTAATCAAGTAAAATTCACATTTACTCTAATGTATGTTGGTGATAAATATTTTAATCTTCAATTTCCTTTTCACATCTTTAAAATTTTCTTTGATTCACTAACTCAAAGCTAACAGACAGAAATATATAATAATCAGTGGTTAGAGGTTGCATTTCTTTTAAAGTATGTTTGAAAATTGCCATAGGTGCAAATGTCATCTCAAGGGAGTTCAGAGTTCTTAAGAGATAATGATAATACTTCATTAAGGAGTCGTGTGGGTCCAGAAATCAAAAAGGTGGAATCAGGGCTGTTTGAAATTTCAGAACCAAAGGAAGAATTCTTTATCAAATTGGAGAAGTATAATCAACTCCACAGAAAAGAAGTCGAAGTTGGAGAAACCTTTGCAAATAAAGCATATGAGTAAGTAAAACCACAGAACCATAAACAATAAATTACAGTTATTTATTTACTTTTTGGTACAGTTTTCAGTTAATTTCCTGATATTGGTAAGAAATTTAAATTGAACAAAATAATTTTTGAAAGTTTTTTATTTATATACAAGTAATAACTTTCAGCTCTTTCATGTATACTGTTTCAAGCCTATTGAAGCCCCCATCATACCGTCCTCCCGCCCACCCTTTCTACTCCTTCCCATCTTTTCTTCTTCCAAATACTACAACAAAATTCTTTTAATTAATTTCATAAACCCCAGCTCATCTCTCCACTAAACAATGGATTCGACAAGCAGTAAGTAGAAAAGTTACTATTACTGAATATTTTAGACAAGGGCTATAACAGTATTCAAATCTAATGGATACTTTTGGAAAATACATGAAATTAGCATTAATTTTATTTATTTATTTATTTGTTTGTTTGTTTATTTATTATATAATTTAGTTGGTGGTGGGCTCTCCCTCTCCCTACCTCAAATTCCCTCCCCTCTCTTCTGTTCTACCCTTTAGGATCATAATGTGTGTCCATCATGAATTTTCCCAAGTCCATCATGCTTCCGCTGGAGTATCTTCCAGCCATGTAGGAGAATAACTTTTCGTTGTAGGTTAATTCTTGTATCCTGGGGCCCTAATGTAGGTACAGTGAGGATTAGGCCTTCATTGTTTATGGACAGTACTGATAACAGTTATAAGTGGACACTGACAATCTCAGGTGGTTATAAACAATCCACCTCTTGTGGATGGTTAATTAATGAATTACGTCACAAGTTCTTGTTACATTAGGTACAAGTAAGTATGAAGTAACATTGATTAACATAGAGTAAGATTCACATATGATATCTCTAGGTTTGGCATTATATTATATTGCATTATAGCAAATATATGAAATCTGACCTTTCGGGGTTGGCTAATTTCCCTTAGCATTATGGTCTCTAGTTTGGCCCATTTGGCCACAAAACAATGCATTTCATTTTTTTTTTAATTGCCAAGTAGTATTCCATAGTGTAGATGAACCACAGTTTTGTTTTTTTGTTTTTTACCCAATTCTCTGTTGGTGGGCATTTAGGTTGCTTCCAAGTTCTTGTGATTGTTGACTGTGCTGCAAGCAACATTGCATTTTGCTTTGTCATATAACAAGTCTTTTGAATATATTCCTAGAAGTGGTATTGCTGGGTCATATGGTAGGTGAATTTTTAATTGCCTAAGCGTTCTCCATACTGACTTCCATAGTGGCTGTACTAGCCTGTATTTCCACCAGCAGTGGAATAGGGTTCCCTTTTTTCTGCAACCGTGCCAGCAGGTGTTGTTGGTAGTTTTCTGCATATGGGCGATTCTTTCAGGCATTAGGTGGAACTTCAGTGTTGTTTTTAATTGAGTTTCCCTTATTTCCAGAGAGCTTGAGCATTTTTTCATGCGTTTGTTAGCCATTTGAATTTGTTCCTTTGGAAAGTGTCTGTCCATTTCCTGTGCCCATTCCTTGACTGGTTTGTTTGTTTTTATGTTATTATTGTTCTGGAGCTCTCTGTATATTCTGGAAATTAGCCCTTTATCTTCTGTGTAGTGTACAAAAATCTTTTCCCATTCTGTTGATTTATTATTTATTTTGTTGATTGTTTCCTTTGCTGTGCAGAAACTTAGCATGAGTTCTTAGTACAGAAGTTAGTAACTGCACCTGTTTGTGGGGAAGACTGCAAGGTAAACACTCTGGACCACCTGCTGTTACCACTGTAGCTACTACTGTTGCCATCACAATTCTTGGCTGTGATCATTATGACCACTAGGTGGTGCCTTGAGATCAACTATTCTTTTTGACTTTTCCCAACTTTTGATGCTTAGCAAGACTACCACGAAGAGAAGGGGAAGTGTAATCCACACCCTGGTTAGAATAAAATCTCATGCATGCTGAGGGCCCCTGAGGAACAGCAACAGCGAGTCCCACCTCTGATGTGTTATTGTTGGGAGACACCTCAGTGATGGTGTGATGGGCTTCTGAGAGTTCTCAGAAGATATCTATTCAAAGACTGCTGAGGAGAAAAATGGGTGGGGGAGGTGGGGATGGGGAGGGGGAACCCCAATGCCTATTAAAATGTGTCACATAATAAAGAATTTTTTAAAGTATTATATAATTTGAAGCTGTACAACATGATGTTTTTATACACATGCACATTGTGAAATGGCTGTTATCATCAAGAGTTTCATTCAATCCATCATGGCACATAGCTGTTATTTGCATTCAAGTTTTTCTAATGATTTTTTCAAGAATATCTCTCATTTTTAAAATTATTATTTTATGACACAGTTGCATAGCCCTTGAGATTTCCTCTGTCCCTTACCCTAATCCCTCACTCCAGGAGTTTCCCCATATCATTATAACAGCATAGTTACTCATAAACAGTAATAAGTTCATCATGGTTTTTCATAATTTGCTTTGATTGTGTTGTAGAATGTTCCTTCTATGCCTATCTTGTATAGGGTTTTCAGCACAAAGTGTTGTTGGTTTTTATCAAATGCCTTTTCTGCATCTATTGAGAGGATCACATGGTTTTTAGTTTTCATTTTGTTGATGTGATGTATCACATTTATTGATTTGCGGATGTTGAACCATCCCTGCATGCCTGGGATGAATCCCACCTGGTCCGGGTGAATGATCTGCCTGATGTGTTGTTGGATCCTGTTGGCTAGTATTTTATTGAGGATCTTAGCATCTATGTTCATCGAGGATATCAGTCTGTACTTCTCTTTTTCTGTTGTTTCTCTCTCTGGCTTTGGTATTAAGGTGATATTAGCTTCATAGAACGTTTGGAATGATTGTCTCCCTTTCTGTTGTTTGGAAAAGCTTGCGTAGGATTGGGGTAATTTCCTCTTGATACGTTTGGTAGAATTCAGCGATGAAGCCATCTGGTCCAGGACTTTTCTTGGTTGCGAAGGCTTTAATTACCAATTCAATCTCTGTGTATGTTATTTGTCTATCTAGATTGTTAATTGCTTCTTGATTCAATTTTGGTGGACTGTATGTGTCCAAAAATCTATCCATCTCCTCTGGGTTTTCTGATTTGTTCACATATAATTGCTTGTAATAGTTCCTGATGATTCTTTGTATGTCTGAGGTATCAGTTGTTATATCTCCTTTCTCATCTCTGATGCTATTGATGTGTATTTTCTCCCTCCTTTTTTTGATTAGTTAGGCTAGTAGGGAGTCAATTTTGTTGATTTTCTCAAAGAAGCAGCTCTTTGAGTGATTGATCATATGTGTAGTTCTCTTGGTCTCTATTTGGTTTATTTCCTCCCTTATTTTGATTATTTCTTTTTTCCTACTAATCTTGGGGTTGCTTTGCTGTTGCTTTTCTAGTTCCTTCAGCTGTAGGGTTAGCTGATTTACTTGATACTTTTCTAGATTCTTGACATAAGCACTGATTGAAATGAATTTTCCTCTTAGCACTGCCTTGTTTGTGTCCCATAAGTTGAAATGTTGTGTCGATGCCTTCATTTGTCTCAAGCAATTTTTAAATTTCCCCTTTGATTTCCTCTCTAACCCAGTGCTCATTTAGTAATGTATTGTTCAGTCTCCATGTATTTGCAAGTTGCCCTGGGTGTTTTGACTTCTTGGTCTCTAGCTTCACTCCTTGATGGTGTGAGAATATTCATGGTATGGTTTTGACTTTTTAAAATTTGCTGAGGCTCATTTTGTGGTCTATAACATGGTCAATTCTGGAGAAGGATCCATGTACTGATGAAAAAAAGTGTATTCTCTGTAGCATGAAAGGTTCAATAGATGTCAACTAAGTCCATTTGCTCTAGAGTTTGGGTGACTTCTATTGTTTCTTTGCTGAGTTTCTGGTTTTTTGATCTGTCCATTGATGTTAATGGGGTATTAATGTCTCCCACTATGATCATATTGGAGTCGATTTCTCCCTTTAAACTCATTAATATTTGTTTCACACAGCTAGATGCTTTGGCGTTTGGCGTGAAAACATTTATTATGCTGATCTCTTCTTGCTGAATGCATCTTTTGATCATAATGTGGTATCCTTCTTCATCTCTTTTGATGCTCTTCACATCAAAGTCTATGTCATCTGATATAAGAATGGCTACTCCTGCTCGTCTTTCCTTACCATTTGCTTGGAATATGTTTTTCCATCCTTTCACTTTCAGTTTCCTCTGATCTTTGTTGGTGAGATGTGTCTCCTGTAAGCAGCAGATAGCTGGGTTTTATTTTTTGATCCAGTCTTCTAATCTATGGTGTTTGATTGATGAGTTTAAGACATTTACATTCAGAGTCATTATGAATAAGGGGCAGTTTGGTTCTGTCATTTTAGTGATGTGTTGTTCTATGATTGAGTCTCCTGTTGGCCTTTTAGTGGGATGTTCTCCACATTTGCTGTTGTTTTTGGTAGTTGCTATTCCTTTTTTTCTTTCCTGGGGATATCCTTGAGTATATTTTGTAGGGCAGGTTTAGATGAGACAAAATCTTGAAGTTTTTCTTTATTGTGGCAGAATTTTATTTCATTTTCAAAGACAAAGGAGAGCTTTGCAGGGTAAGTTATTCTGGGCTGAAAATTTTTCTCTTTTAGAATCTGAACTATGTCACTTCATTCTCTTCTGGCCTGCAGTGTTTCCTCTGAGAGGTCGGCCGTGAGTTTGATTAGGGTTCCTCTATATGTCACTTGATTTTGTTACATGCACATTTAAGGATTTTTTTTTCCTTTTTGTTCAACTGAAGAGAGCTTGATTATCATGTGTTGTGGTGAAGTTTGTTTTTGATCAACTCTGTTGGGAATTCTGTGGCCCTCCTGAATATTATTTTCCAATTCTTTCCCCAGATTAGGAAAGTTTTCATTATTTCATTGAATACAACTTTAATCCCAGTTTCTCTTTCTCTACCTTCTGGAACTCCCATTACTTTTGTGTTGGGCCTTTTAATCATATCTTTTAATTCTTGGATACTTTTTTTAGCTTGACCCAGCTCTGCTTC